CAGCATATCTCAGGTTCCATCTACACAGGGGTCTTTATGATCAGCAGGCCCTTATTAAGATAAATTACTCTGAAAAAACAAGTTTCAAAGGTCAATCTCAAAGTAAGTACTTACAGTTTTGTTGGTAAGTAGGCTGCAGTGTCATCTTTATTTCTGATAATGTCATTACATTTATCAAGTGTTTGAAAAACAGTGAAAGTATCTCCAATGCTATAAAGGGCTGCAAGATTTTTAGCTAACAATTTTCGCGTAGGTGGTCCAGGTGAACTACTTATTAATCCAGTTAATTGTTCAACAAGTTTTTTCTGTTTTTCCTTTACATCAGTCTGTTATAAAAAAATAAAGATCATCAGTTTTTTTCTTATACATAATTTTGTTATCTTTTAGTGAAAATTTAAAAATACTTAACAGTTAAGGCACTCTAATAATTAAAATCTATATTACTTTAGGTATAAAACCATAAATGAGAATTTTCAAGATAAGGAAGAGTTCAGTAAAAAAATGAACCGTTCTTTCCTAGATTAAATATTCTCCTCATTCTCCTCCAATTCCACAAAGTTAGCTGCCAATAAAAGTGACTACTCTATATCCAAAAAGTTTCCATGCTGACTTATTAAAAATTAAAACCAACAGTCAGTCAAAGGATGTAAAATATTGGGTGTATGGACAATTGACATCTTAGAACTCAGCTAGGGTCCCCTGTAAAAGCAAAGTCAGTAGTTCATAGAGTTATAGGTCAGTAAAGGAAACCAAAAGAAACTCTGAAGAGCTCTAGGCAACAGAAGAAATATTCAGATCTACTCGTAATCAATGCTGGGAATTCATCCATCCATTAAAGAAATACTTACTGTACACTTATATGCCATGCACTATTCTAGGTACTGGGGTGCAAATGCAAGAGTGATTACAATAGACAGTCTCTGCCCTCATGAAATTTACATTCTAATGGGGAGAAACAGAGTTTACCAAATAAACAAATGAATACTGTGAGTTCTTCCTGTTTTATACAGATTAGTAAGAAAAAGGCATCTCTGAAAAGAAGTGAAGATGTGAGTTATGCAGATATCTGGGAGAAGAACATTCCAGGCAGGCAACAAGTACAAGGGCCTTGAGGTGGGAGCATACTCAGCATGCTTGAGGACAGCAAGAAGCCAGTGTGGCCGGAGCAAAATAAGACAGAGGAAGTAGCAGGAGATGAAGTCAGAATGATAGAAGGGAGCAGGTCATGCAATGCCTCATACACCATTGTAAGAACTTTGTATTTTATTCTCAGTGAGAGTCTGAGGCAGAGGAGGGACACGATTAAATGCTTTAACAGGGTTTTTCTGACTATTGAGCTGAGGATACTCTACAAGGTACATGGCTGGAAGCACGGTGAGCACTTAAGTTGTGGCAATAATCCGACAAGAAATGAGGGTGGTAACAATGGAAATAATGTGAAGTAACTGAATTCTGGATATATTTAGGGGAGAGAACCAATATGATTTGCTGATAAATATGATGTGGAGTTTGAGAAAAAGAAGGAAGTGAAGAATGGCTCTAAGATTTATGACCTGAGCAACCAGGATTATACGGTCATTTCCTGAGATAGAAAGCACTGGGGCAAGGATAGGTTTGAGACAGTGAAATCAAGAACTTAGTTTTAAATATGTTAACTTTGAGATGCTGTTTAGATATTCAAGAGAAAGAGGTGGAGTAGCTAGTTGGATATCCGGTAATCATTACTACATAGATGGCAGTAAAAATCATGAGATTAGATGATATCACTGAAGGATTAAGATGGGTTTTTTTTAAAAAATAAAAATAAAAAAAGAGTGCCCAGGACTGAGAAAGAGCCAGCAAAAGAGAATGAGGAATAACTAGTGAAGCAGGAGTAGAATTAAAAGCAAATAGTGTCTTGGGAACCACAAATAGGAAAAACTTCACACCAACTGTGCATCAACAGTAATGATAACAATTTATTTTTTAATTTGGGTAAAGGGTGTACAGATGTTCATATTATTATGCTTCATAATTTGGATATACTTTTTATATACTCTTTTGTATTTTTCAATTTCACAACAAAAAAAGATATTTTGTGCTTTAAGATAGAGGATCAGCTATGTCAAAAGCTGCTGACAGCTCCATTAAAACAGAATACTGACTGTTGGTTTGGGCAATACAAGATCTGTTTCAGTGTAATGGAGGCAACAAATACCCAGCTGGAGTGGGTTTAAGAGAAAACAGAAACTTCTAGTTAAAGACTGTAAATGAATCCATGCATTAACTCTGTCTCTCCAGAAACTAAAAGTATACTAAAGGGCAACCAAAAAAAAAGCACCAATATAAAAGGGCAAAGAAAACAGAAAAAGAATCAATGCAAAATATAGAAGCCAGGTATCCTCAATATGGAAAGTTAAGAAGAGCCCCAGCTTCCAACAGAGGACTCCTGAAAAGCTCATGTTTGTTCGTTGTTGCTCTTGTTTTGAGGCCCCAAATGCTTATGGAAGAGACAGTAAAGTTGTGTCTAGAAATGGAAGGAATGGTTGAGAGTCTATTTAAGAAGCTGTAAGACTCCCACATCTCTCTCCTCCATCCTGAACTCAGTGAGCTCGGGCACAACCGTGGGCTGGGAAAACTGCACTGAAAACAGGGGGATTAAGTAAAAGTTTAGACACTGAATGTTGAAGTCCCCAGCCTTCTCCCCCAAATCCTAGAACCTAGGCAGCTAGTCATGTACCCTAGGACACTACAGTAAAAAAGTCTCTTATAGGGAATGACTAGCTCAGAAAAACCTAAAGGGGTTCCTCAAAGAATTGGACTAGTCTATGGCGAAGCACACTTCACCCTGACTAGAAAACTTTTACTACTCACTCTAAAATTTGAGCAGACTGCCAAATTTTCCTCAGATGTTTGAAGAAAGCATCTAATTTTAAAGACAGCATCTAATTTTAAAGACAGAAAATAAACACACAAATAATGAAAAGTAACTTGGGTGAAAAGATTGTGAAGGAAGAAGGAAAAAGAAAGAAAAGCCTATTATTAACTCTTCAGAGAGACAAGTGAAGATACTGGAATTGCTACACAGCACTGAGGGACCACTTGATGTTGGAGATAATGAATTTAAAGTGACAGCAATCAGGGCTTCCCTGGTGGCACAGTGGTTAAGAATCTGCCTGCCAATGGCAGGGGACACGGGTTCAAGCCCTGGTCCGCGAAGACCCCACGTGCCGCGGAGCAACTAAGCCCATGCGCCACAACTACTGAGCCTTGCTCTAGAGCCCGCGAGCCACAACCACTGAGCCCGAGTGCCACAACTACTGAGCCTGAGCTCTAGAGCTCGTGTGTCACAACTACTTAGCCCGTGTGCCACAACTACTGAAGCCTGTGTGCCACAACTACTGAAGTCCGTGCACCTAGAGCCCATGCTCTGCAACAAGAGAAGCCACTGCAATGAGAAGCCCGTGCAAGACCCAACGCAACCAAAAATAAAAATTAAAAATAAATAAATTTATTTAAAAAAAAGAAGTGACAGCAGTCATATAATCATGTTTTTCTCCACTCACATTCAGATGTCCAGGTAGAAACATAAAGTCTCTATCCAGGCAATAAGCTGGATTTAAACGAGGTTTGGGTTTTGCCACAGGATAGAAAAGGACAGACAAATTCTTACTACAGTACAGTGTAATATTCTCAAGTTCCACAAATGACCTACAATCTCCAAAACATAATGTGTTTTCTTACAAATCATGTACACATAATAGTCTTTATATATGTTAACCCAGCTAGAAAAAAAAGTAATACCATACCTTGTTGGCAGCAACCAAGACTTTATCAAGAAATCGCAACCATTCAAAGATAAAAACTGGTCTCTTCGCTTCAGTGATTTGAGCCAAAGCGTCTTCATTCAGCAATAAACTGTGGGCTAACTCCATTACTGAAGTTTTAATTTCACACCTTAAATAAACAATTTTAAAATACTTGTAAGAACTTGTTAATATTAAAAGTCAAACTTAACAAATGTAATCACTAAGAAATGAAAAATAAGGCTTTACTTCTCATTTCATTTGGAGGAAACTTACATAACTTCCTTGAGGCAAAACCCGAGAACCTAATTTTAAAGGATAAGGGTGCAAACAAAAACAAAGGAAAGTCATGCTTGGTGAGGAAGAATGAAGAATGGGTTCAATGGAAAATTAAGATAAATATTGCAAATAAGGCATTATTCCAGAAGGAAAATGCCTAGCAAAATACGTCATTAACCCATTCCATAAACGGGAAAACTGAAGCACCGAGATCAAACACCAGCCGGGCCTGACAACCCATCCTCCTTTTTCCTCTTCCACTGCTCGGTGCACAGCACCCTTCCGCTTCCCCTGCTGCACCTGCCCCAGGAGGAGGTCAAAACGTCCCAGCAGACAGATCCCACACTGGAAGGCTCCGAGAGTCTTCCTACGGGGATGAGGTGGCGGCGGGAGGCCAGGTCCCCGCGGCCGAAGCTTCAGCTACAACGCCGGGCGGTCCAGGAACGCAGCTGGCAGAGGCCGCGCGCACTGCAGGTCCGGGTAAACCGGCTATCTGGAGGAAGGCAGCGCAGCGCCGGGCCCGAGGCCGTCTCAGGCCTCGGCCGGGTCACCCGGTCTGTCAACCCCAGGAGGCGGCGACTCGGAACCAAGTCCGGCGCCTGAAAAGGGCAAATGTTCATTACGAACTCGAATTCCGTCCCCAGACCTCTGACAACCTAGTGGGGGCCTTGGTGTGTGTGCGCGCGCGTGTGTGCGTGTATGTGTGTCAACGTGCACGCTACGGTGGCGGACGGGTCGGCCTTACCTCGTAGTCTGGCAAAGGTAGACGAGCCGAGCTCCGCGTCTAGAAGAAGCCGCTAAGGGACCCGGATGCCCCACCTCCCACACTTCTCCCAGCCGGAAGCGCGAGGAGAGCGCGTGCGCGGAAGGCTGATCCTGCGCAAGCGCACTTAACCACGTCTGCCTGGCCCCGCCTGCCTCCGATTTCCAATTGACACTGGCCGCGGAAACTCAGGTGGGAGCGAAGGCCCAGAGGTCCCGCGCAGGTTGGTGAGCGTCTGCGCAGCGCTAGCTTTCGCGAGCTGGCCTGGGGAGAGTACAGCTGCCAGGTAAGGAGCTGTGGGCGCCTGGTGAAATGATGAAGGGCGGTGATCTGTGCACTGGCTGTGACTACCCATCACACCATCACCAATATTCCCACCCGTGAGTGGTCGCGTCTGTGGCACGCTTGCACCTGGGAGGGGCGCGACAGGGAAGGGATCAGCGGCCCCTGAGAGGAGTGTTTGGGTCTGACGCGCTTCTTGTCACCTTTCTACTGTACATCCAACTACTTAGTCCATCTCTCCACTTGGATGTGTAATGGGACTCTCAGTACATGTGAAGCAGCACTCTTATTGCCACCTCCCTGTCCACTATCTGCCAAAAAACAAAACAAAAACAAAACCTGATGCTACAGTCTAACCGCTCTCAAAAACTGGTAACTCCATTCTTCCAGGTATTCAGACCAAAAGCCTTTTAGTAATCCTTGACATCGATCTTTCCCACCCCGCCGCCAATCCAGCAGCAAATCCCGTTACCTCTATCTTCAGAATATACCCAGAATCCGATCATTTCTCACCACTTACACTGCTGTCACTGTGATCCAAGCCACCGTCATTCTGCCAGGATTATCACCTTGTGAAGTTTATCCTTATCCTTATGGGAACAGATGATGCTAAAGTATAGTGTACCCATAAAAAGGGGGTTTAAAAAACCTGTAACGCCTCTGCATAGCACTTTAGAGCTAAGTAGTTCCCTTAAAAATAATCGAATCCTATTTGCAGTAGAAAGAGCTCTGAGACCTGGATTTTTTGTGGTGTTGAGCAAGTCATTTAGCCATACTGAGTCTTAATTAAAGCAGGACTAATTGTCCGTACCTTACAGAGTTGTTAATGGTAATTAAATGGGATAAAAATGTTTGATACACTCGGTAGGTGCTAGATCATTATGTATAAAAATACTGTTATTACAAATGAAGAATCTGAGGTTTAGAGACAGTGGGTGAATTACCACAAGTGCTGGATATAATCTTACATACTTTTAACTTATTGTATTATAATAAAAGGAAAATTAGGCAAAACTAAGCTGTAATGTTTAAGGATGCATGTGTGGGTGATGAAACCATAAGGAAAAGGAAGTGACTGGAAGGGGTGTGATAGGGTAGGGGACAGGGAGGGCTTCTGGGGGGCTGACAAGGTTCTATCTGCTGATATGGGTGATGATTTCTATTATCTTTTGCTGTAGAACAAATTATTCTAAAGTTTAGCAACTTGAAATAACTATAATCATTTATTATCTCACAGTTTCTGTGGGTCAGGAGTTTGTTAGTGGTTTAACTTAGCTTGGAATTTAAGAAGTTGTAATGGGGACTTCCCTGGTGGTCCAGTGGTTAAGACTCTGTGCTTCCAGTGCAGGGGGCGTGGGTTCGATCCCTGCTTGGGGAACTAAGCTCCCACATGCCGCACCACGCAGCCAAAAAGTAATAAATAATCAAAAAATTAAAATTAAAAAAAGAAGTTGTAAGGAAGATGCCAGCCCACAGTGAGCATCTGAAGGCTTGACTGGGGCTGGAGGATCCATTTCCAAGGTGACTCACTCATGTCACTCCCAAGTTTGTGCTTGTTGTCAACAGGAGGCCTCAGTTCCTCCTGCGTGGACTTCTCCATAGATCTGCTTAAATATCCTCACTATATAACAGCTGACTTCCTTCAGAGAGAGTGATCTAACTAACTTCAGAGTTAGAGTGATCTAAGAGCTGTAGTGTCTTTTGTGACCAAGAAGTCACACTCCACCATTTCTTCAATATTCTGTTGGTTACATAAGTCAACCCGTTCACTGTGGAAGGATGTTGAAAACCAAGAGGTAAAAATCACTGGGGGCCATCTTGGAGGCTACCACATGGTTACAAGAGTGTTTGCCTCATAAAAATGCACTAAGCTACACATTTATTTTATGCAGTTTTCTGTATTGATAGATTTACAAGAAGATTTTAAAAAAAGAAGACATGGCGACACAGGAAGAAAGTATTCCGTTACTACAAAATCAGAAATATAATTAAAGACCCTTCTTATCCTCATCATAGCTAAACACTAAGGATTTATGATGTTTGGGACACAGTGGTAGGCAGAGGGTATACAGGGGACTTATCTTTGTGGTTTACAGCCTAGTTGGGAAGATATACATTAAAAATATAAAAACCAGTACAGTAATACTGTTTTCATCCAATGTAATTGTCCAGACTCTTGGTTACAGTTGACAGAACCCCTGTTCAAACAAGCTTAAATAATGAGGAAACTTATCAGCCTATGTAGCTGGGAAGAATGGGAGGTCATAGCATTAAAGAAAGAGCTGCAGGAATCAGGGCCTTGAGAACTAGGGTTGGAGACTCATTGCCTTTAGGCCTGTCTCTATCTGGCTTCATTCTGCAGAACAGGATCTCTTCGAATGACCAAGAAGATGGCCATCCACAGCCCAGCTTCACATACTTCCAGTTTAGAAACCCCAACAAAGAGAGCTTCTTTTCCCTGCGATCCATATATTCGTATCATTAGGGAAAGAGATGCTTACTTGCCCTGTTTAGGTCATCCCCTCGCCTTTGCTAGGACATAAGGTACTATAACTGGCCATCTTGTGCCCAAGAGAGTATATGGTACTAAGATTGCCACCTTCCACTAGAACCACAAGGAGGGCAGAAGGCCGGGTTTCCAAAGGGAAGGATGGTGAGCAGGCCAAAACAGCATATGTGCACTGCAACAAGTGACTCCACTTTTGTATCCAGGAACTGGACCAGCAGCATTGACAGCACCTGGGCGCCTGTTAGAAATGCAGGACCTCAAGCTCCAGCTCAGAATCAGACTCTGCATTTTAAGAAGATCCCAGGGCAATTCATATACACAGTAAAGTTTGAAGTGTAGTTTATAATTACATGATTTTAACTACTTCGGATAGAAACTGTCCTCAAAAGTGTTTCCACATAAGTGAAGTGTTAACTATATCAAGTTACAAATGAACAGCTTGAACATAAAGTGCTGTGGAGAGAGGCCTGAAGTGGTCAGGACAGGCTTTTGTGAAGGAGGGTAGCCTAGGCCTAGGAGGAGGGAACTGTCTGTGGTGTGTTCAGAGGGCAATGAGAGAGACCATGTGGCGTGACTAATGAGTCCTAGAGGAGAGTCAGAGGTCAGATTATGAAGGATCTCTCTGGCTACCATGTGAAAATGATGGTTCCTCCACTGCCCACAGGGTAAAGTTTACAAAGGATTTGAAACTGGCAAGTAACATGTCCTGACATGTTTTTAAAAAACCACTCTGGAGAGGTTCTAGAGGATGGGTTGGAGGAGGAGAGGCCAAAGGCAATGAGACCAATTTGGAAGCAGTTGTAATAGTTCAGGTGAGAAAAAGATGCCTGAACGAAAGCAGTGGTCACAACTATAGGAAAAAATGCCTATGGGGGATAATATGGAGGAAGAGTTGACAGAGGTTTATAAGAGGTCAGGAAGGGGGAGATAGTGGTGACGTTAATTTGGAAATACAGGGATGAAGGAGGTCTTGGGAGGGGGAAGAGAATGAGTTGTTTGGATTATTGAGTTTGAGAGCTCCACCCAGAAGGATGTCAAAAGGACACTTGAATATGGAGTAGAGCTCTAGAGAAAGGTCATGGCTGGGAATGCATACAGGTTTATTTCCATTTTGGTAAACTGAAAATTAGTAATCGTTACTTTATCCTATTTGATTTGTAGATGGTTTTGCCATATGAAGCTGAAAATGGCAGAAGAGGAGGACTATATGTCTGATTCCTTCATTAATGTCCAGTAAGTAAATATGCACACTCCATGAAATGATATGTGTAAGACATTAGTGGAGATTTTTCAGCAATGCCATTGATTTTATATATTTTTATTTTTTATAAATTTATTTATTTAATTTATTTATTTTTGGCTGCGTTGGGTCTTTGCTGCTGTGCAGCCCCCTTCCAGCTGCAGTAAGCAGGGGCCACTACTCGCCGCAGTTTGTGGGCCTCTCACTGCCGTGGCCTCTCCCGTTTCGGAGCACGGGCTCCAGGTGAGTGGGGTTCAGTAGTTGTGGCATGCAAGCTCCAGAGCACAGGCCCAGCAGCTGTGGTGCACAGGCCCAGTCGCTCCGTGGCATGTGGGATCCAACCGGACCAGGGCTCAAACCCATGTCCCCTGCATTGGCAGGCGGACTCCCAACCACTGCGCCACCAGGGAAGCCCTAAGCAATGCCACTGATTTTAAAGGTGAGGTTGGAAGTTAGTCTTATTGCTTCATGGAAATACTTCCTACATGTCTATAGTACAAAGATACTAGAAATTTCTTCTTCCTTTTTAATGCTAGGTGTTTTTTTCCTGCCCCTGATTCTTTTTATTCCCCTTTTCCAAGGATATTTACTGTTTTACTTCATTTCATCTCATCGCGTCTTAATACCTGCTGTCCAGCTTTGCTTTTTATTATAGCCAACCTCTTAGAAAAATTAGTTTGAACCTACTATTTCTAATTTCTTCAACTCTGTACTTTTAGTTTCTTACCATATGGTACCAGCCTTCATCATTTTAACTAACACAGCCATTCTCAAAGGACATTGGTTATGTTCTAACAAAGATGCTCCTAGAGGTAGCACTGAAATATTAAGTAGTGTCAAGTGAGTAAGTGGCAAAGCTATGAGAAACTTGCATGTACTGGTCCAAAATAACCTTTTCCCTCATTCTTCAGAGAAGATATCAGACCAGGCTTGCCAATGCTGAGGCAAATCCGAGAAGCCCATCGAAAAGAAGAAAAGCAACAGGAAGCTAATTTGAAAAATAAGCGGAAGAGTTTAAAGGAAGAAGAACAAGAGAGACGTGACATTGGACTGAAGAATGCACTAGGCTGTGAAAACAAAGGGTTTGCTTTGCTCCAGAAGATGGGATATAAAAGTGGTCAGGCCCTCGGCAAAAGTGGTGAGTCACAGCCAGAAATAAACAGCTGTAATTTATTGATGAGTACCAGTGATGACTCTTTAATCTCTGTCCCTCTACACAGAAATTGAAACAACTTAAGCTTCCTAGGCTCTTACTGTTGCTGGCAAGCTTATGGAGAACTTACATCTTCCCACATCCACTTTAGACATGTGCCATCAAGAGCTGCTTATCTGCCCAGCTCGGCCTCAAAGGCGCTAACAAGTGGGATGGACGAGGCTTACAATGGAGGCAGCAGCTAAGAATGGTGACAAGAGAAGGGTTAAGAAGTACAGTGGCCCAAAGGACAGTGAAGCAACATCGAAGATGATGGCAGGACTCTGCCCTGCTTGCTCTGTACCTGTGGCAGCTGCCTGAGTGACCCCTCAGCTGGAGAAGCTCAGTTCTCACCTCTCTTTTAGGAATGAGATTGCTTATTAAGAGATAGAGGCCATATACGTATAGTAGCTTCTGTAAGCTGTTTATCTCCTCTCCTCTCCTTTATTGTCATTGCTTTGACCTTCACCTCGCAAGGCTTTGCTCTCTCTTGTGGCTCCCACCCTCCTGGATATATATCAGTGTTTTTACTTCTTAAAATCCTTCCTACCTTGAGGTGGCGTTGCAGGCTGTGGATCAGCCTTATCGAGGACTAAGTATTTGAAGGCAAGGGTGGTAGTTGATTGTAGAGTATTGATGTTCAGTTACAGTTTTGAGTATCATTGAAACTGAAGGGGATAAGTATAGAACATTATAAAGTTGCATACTGCACCTGCCTGTAGTTTGAGGAAGAATTTCTAAAGTAGTTTGTGTTTTGTTCTCTATTTTTTTTTTTAGGAGACGGTATTGTTGAACCAATTCCTCTTAATGTCAAAACAGGTATGTAATTATTTTTGAGGCTATTTACCAGTAATAACAACTTACACTTAAATTTAGCACATATATTTGCTTAATAAATACTTTTTTATGGTGGTACTGTTACAGTTCTTATCATAAGACACCCTCAGTAAAATGTTTCTCAGTTAAATTTCTAGACCTTTTAAACTAAAAATACAAGTAAGTTTTAGTCAGTATAAAATAAAATTTTAATCATAAAAATAGGGGAAAAAGTGTTGTAACCATTAACAACACAAAGCTATTTTTGTCCACTGAGTGTCCTAAAAGTATCCTGAGACAGATGTATCCATTAAATGTTTTTCTTAATACTTTGGACAAATTAAAGAGAAAAAATATATACTTTATTTGTTCAGCATATTTATATGTAAGTATGACAGTTGATACTGTTTTCCCAATTTGAAAAAAATGTGTGTAGTATTACCATCTTATTAGATCAGACCAATGATCTTTGTAAAAATCAAATTATGTGTTTGGGTTAAAAAAAATCTCTAGTGTTTTCTCCCATCCTTCTTATCAAATGATTTTGAGTGACTGTACTCAAATTAGAATTGCATTTAATCTGTAAGTATTTAGGGAATTCCCTGGCAGTCCAACAGTTAGGACTTGGCGCTTTCACTGCCTAGGGCTCGGGTTCAATCCCTGGTTGGGGAACTAGGAACCCACAAGCCGCAAGGTGTTGCCAGAAAAAGAAATTTTAAGTTGTCATGCTTTGAAATATAAAGTCAGTACATTTCTCATCAGTGTTTACTGTTTGAGCAGGAAAAAGTGGCATTGGTCATGAGGCATTACTAAAACGGAAAGCAGAGGAAAAATTGGAAAGCTACAGAAGAAAGATTCACATGAAAAAAGAAGTTGAAGAAAGAGCTGCAGAACAGTTTCGGTATTTTAGCAGTTTATAGTTTCACCCTTTCTTTATTGTGGTATGTTTTCTGCTACTTGGACATATAAAATGGATGAAGAGAGCACAGACCTCTAGTGTACTATTTTTTTCTTTGAATCAGAATGCGACTTAAAAATAAGCAAGATGAAATGAAGCTAGAAGGAGATCTTAGAAGAAGCCAGAGAGCCTGTCAACAGTTGGATACTCAGAAGGTAAGCCTTTTACCTGCTTTCAGTTTGGTAAAGTGTTTTGGCACCCAGTGTGATTTGCTCTGTATTTTTATTGTTAAAAAGAGAGAGAGAAAGAGAGAACTCCAAGCCTGGTGTATCTACCCACTAAAGCTTTCATTTAAGATGCATTATTGATCTATGATAACTGCTCCACAACAAAGAGAAGCCACCGCAATGAGAAGCCCGCGCACCGCAATGAAGAGTAGCCCCGCTTGCCACTAGAGAAAGCCCGCCTGCAGCAACAAAGACCCAACACAGCCATAAATAAATAGATAGATAGATAGATAGATAGATAAAAGTGGGGGGCTTCCCTGGTGGCACAGTGGTTAAGAATCCACCTGCCAATGCAGGGGACACGGGTTCGAGCCCTGGTCTGGGAAGACCAACATGCCGCAGAGCAACTAAGCCCGTGCACCGCAACTACTGAGCCTGTGCTCTGCAGCCTGCGAGCCACAACTACTGAGCCCACATGCCACAACTACTGAAGCCTGCGTGCCTAGAGTCCGTGCTCCTCAACAAGAGAAGCCACTGGAATGAGAAGCCCACGCACCACAATGAAGAGTAGCCCCACTCGCCGCAACTAGAGAAAGCCCGCCCGCAGCAACGAAGACCCAACGCAGCCAAAATAAATAAATTTATTTATTTATTTTAAAAATAAATAAATAAAATAAAGTCTCAAAAATGGGGACTTCCGTGGTGGTGCAATGATTAAGAATCTGCCTGCCATTGCAGGGGACATGGGTTCAATCCCTGGTCCGGGAAGATTCCACATGCTGCAGAGCAACTAAGCCCGTGCGCCACAATTACTAAGCCTGTGCTCTAGAACCCGTGAGCCACAACTACTGAAGCCTGCGTGCCTAGAGCCCGTGCTCCTCAACAAGAGAAGCCACCGCAGTGAGAAGCGCTCGCACCGCAATGAAGAGTAGCCCCCGCTCGCCGCAACTAGAGAAAGCCCACTCGCAGCAACGAAGACCCAATGCAGCCAAAAAAATAAATAAATAAATTTTTTTTAAAAAAGAATAAAAAAGTTTCCTTCAATTAAAAACAAAAGTCTCAAAAATGTTTGTAAAATTCCCTTCATATGTAAATAGATTGCTGGAAGCAATCTCTCTTTTCTCTATTTCCATAGGACATTATTTTGAATATGTGTCGTGATACTTAAGATTTCCTCACTGATATGTATCATTTTATACCCATTAAGCTACTTATACCCATAGCTTCTTTTCCCTACTAGATTGTCTGCACCTGGGAGGCAGTATTCTAACTGGGTTTTGCATCCCCATAGTTCATAGTGCTTTACTCTTAAAGCAGCACTCAGTAAATATTTAATTGAGAGAATGAATTCATGTTGACAGGAGCATACTTGTGATAGAGTTATGTTTAGCTGTGTTTAATTGGGAATAATTCTACATTTTCAGAATATTCAGGTTCCCAGGGAGGCATGGTACTGGTTGAGGCTTGAAGAGGAAACTGAAGAAGAGGAAGAGGAAGAAAAAGAACAAGATGAAGATGAATATAAGAGTGAAGACTTAAGTGTATGTGTTGGGACCAGTTCCGTAAGCCGGCTGTCTCAGCCTTGGCACGATTAACATTTTGAACTGGGCAGTTGTTTGTTGTCGGGGGCCGTTCTGTGCATTGTGAGATATCTGAGAGCATCTGTGGCCTCCACCCACCAGATGTCCATTGCACTTCCCCCTTGTGACAACGGAAAACGTCTTCAGACATTACTACATTTTCCCCCGAGGGGAAAAAATCACCCCTTGAGAACCACTGCATTACAGGTTTATTTCATGAACCCCAGAGCAAAACTTAATATAATTTTCCCCGTTAGCTTCAGTCTACCCTCTCACCTCAGTTTTAGTTTGGATGATGGATTAGCCGCAAATGTAACTTATGTTAATTTCTACCTTGTTTCCTGCTGAACTCCTGGAAGTGATTCTGAGTACCTCCCTCCCCCACCCACAAACAAAACAAAGGAAAAAAACACAATTCAAAGGAAGTAGAGATTATTCAAGGAAAGAATACACATTTCTATGGTTACTTTGTATAAAAGAGTATGTAGGAGACGTTCACAATTTGAAAACCATATGTTCCACTTAACTGGGAGACCATTGATGAGAACTTTAGTGGTAGAGAGAGACAGTTTCAGCCAGATTTGTTGAAAGTAGAAGGGGTCTTTAAAGGATGCTTATTCTAATAGAGCCAGCCAAGATCTATTGTTGAAATGTTAACAAGGGGTCTCTGTTGTGTCTGACAGATGTGAAAATAGGGTAACTGGTAAACTGGGACATGTTCTAATATATTCTGCCCTTGACACCTCTCCTAACTGGTTGAGCGTGTAGTAGAAGATTTAGGGCCTTAGGGTAATTCAGCATGATCTGAGAGACCCGAAAACCAAGATTCTGTTCAATGTGAACTATTAATATGCTTGTATCCTATACCTAGGTACTGGAAAAATTACAAATATTGACTAGTTATTTAAGAGAAGAACATCTGTATTGTATTTGGTGTGGAACAGCCTATGAAGGTAAGAAGATACTTTATACTTTTTAAAAATATTGAGTACAAACACAAAACATTGATTTTAGCTTTGATTTTTTATGAAAGTCACATTTCCCATAGACAATGGAAATTTTTTTATTCCCTCCAAATGGCCATGTTGGATGAATGCTTTAAAGAAATAGTGGACAGAGAAATAATTGAGGGTTGATTAAAGGTGCTTTTAACTTTTCAGAAACTGAATGTGCAGAAGGGAATTTTTCAGTCTTCTATTTCAAAAGAAATAGAGTTTTTAATCACTTCAGGATGTTGAATTTTTTTCATGCTTTATTTTCCATGACTCTTCAGCTACCTGAAAAATATCGTAAATTTTTAGAACTAATTTTTTTGTATTTAGGTAGAATACTATCCCTGAACCATAAAAATCAGAATGTTGAAATCCACTCCATTGTTTTTTCATTGTAAGGAAAGAAGTGGTTTAAAATGTGTCAAATGTCTTAACAGACACAAGTGCTTTCTCTTCTAACACACTTGCCCAAGTCAGCTTTGCTAACTTGAATTTAAGGACTTTGTACATGAGAGGTGAAGAATTTTGAGTTATTGTTGTATCTTTTCCTGGTTTGTTTAGCAGAGTAAGAAGCAAACACAGCTACAAAATACATGTCATGTTGAAATAATTTTCTAGAATAGTATACTATGCAATTTGTATTAATTGTTCCTTTTCCTCACATAAATTACAGATAAAGAAGACCTGTCTTCAAATTGCCCAGGACCAACTTCTGCAGATCATGACTAAGATTATTCTCAATAAAGTAGAAGCTTGGCAAATGTTATTGTTTCCTAGACAGTTGAGCAGTTAGAATTTCCAAATTTTTGATACCAGTAAAGAAAGAGGGCCTTTATATGTTTCATTGTTTTTATACATTAGAAGTACTTTGTACTTTAGAATATAATTGTTCACTGGCTTCAAAAACATAATGGAAAGCCATTTCAGAACACAAGTATTATAGACATGGGCAATTACAATTTATGACTCTTTTGTGACGTTTATGGAATTTAAGGACACCAACTCTCTTACTCACTTTGGAACAAATTGAGAAATAAGACATAGGAGTTAGAGATCAAAATATCAGCTTTATTATCAATGAAATAAAGAGCTAGTTGACTTGTTCTCCAGTCATGCTCCCTGCGAGATCTCCCTGGTTAGAGAGAACTGCCGACCTTGCCTCGGAGGGACAGAGCCCATCTTTGCATTAGGAGACCATTAGCTTTCAAGGTGAGAGAACCAACCCCTCAGGGGTGGGGCCATACATGCTCAGTTCCTTTTCCCAAAATCACTCATCAGATGAGACACCTCTCTGTTGAGACGGAATGAATACAGGTTCACAGAGCTTGTTCCCACACTTCTCTCTTCCAAGGAGCAAGAAGTTCCCTTCATGCAAGCATGAGAAGGAGGGGAAAAGTATTCCCCTCAGTAAGAGTAATGTCAGAGGCAAGGTTCCATTAATAGTACTTAATTCTAATCAGTTTTAGAAACAAAGTAGTGATGATATTCCGTAAAATCGTTGAGTTTTCATAGCAATGTGTATATCCATTATAAGTGAACAACTGCCCATTTTGGCTAAAGAAACAATAATTAGGAGTAACCTTAAATATCAGGTGATCCAACTTCTTAATCCCTTTGACAACATTCCTAGCAGGTGGTAATCCAACCTCTGCCTTTATTCCTCCAGCCACAGAGAGCTCACTGCCTTAAAATGGACCGTTGCATTGCTGGGTAGCTCTAAGTCATTTTAAAAGTTATTTTTCTGTCTTAAGCTGAATTCTGCTTCCCTATAATTTAACCAGATATAGCTAAAGACATACCATGTGGCACACCTCTAGAGAACTCCATCTAAGTTTGGGCATCAAAATCATGAACTTTTTTAAAGTTCACAAGCTCAGGTGCCACCCTTAGTGACTTGATTCAGCTAGTCTAGGATAGTTTCTGGATATCTATTTATTTTAAAGTTCTAAGAATGTGTCTGATTATCACCTGTGGATGAGAACTAGTGCTCTAGGTTAAACTAGAGCATGACTGTTCTTCGGATCAAGTTGTGACCTCATCTGTACAATTTTACAGCTCACCTTTCAGTAGCATTGAGCAAGAGATCAGCCTCTTTTTATTATAAACAGCATACCTGACAACATAGCAGAAGCTAACCTACACTTGCCCAAATTAAGATAATCAATGGTATGAGTTGTATTAGCCTCTGACCTAATTTGACCTAGTTCACTTGTTCTAAAGTCTAACTTGGGGAGCTTTAAAAAACATGATATTACAAAGGTCCCACCTCCAGAGATTCTGATGTAATTGGTCACTGTGGCCTGTGTATCACTACCCTTGATTCTAAAATGCAGCAGAGGGACTTCCTGGTGGCACAGTGGATAAGACTCCACGCTCCCAATACAGGGGCCCGGGGTTAGAGCCCTGGACAGGGAACTAGATAACACACACATGCCGCAACTGAGAGTTCACATGCCACAACTAAGGAAGCTGCCTGCTTCAACTAAGACCCCATGCAATCAAATAAATAAATAAATAAATAAAATGCAGCAGAGCTTGAAAACGTAGTTAACTTCTGGGCCTCAGTTCTTCATCTAGAAACTGAATTATGAGTTTTATGACTATAAATACATATATAAAATATTGGAGCTTATATAGTTGGATAAAACTGATAGTTACTTTTTCCATTTAAAAAAATCGTAACATTGTATTAACAGCTAAAACAAAGTATATCTTCTTCTTGGAATTATAGTCACATCCTTTCCTGTCATTTCAGCCAACAAACCAACATTCATTTGGACAGACCCAACGCCATGTGGATAATTTCAGACAGAATGGAGTTAGGAACTGGCTTCCTTTTCTCCTCTTACTGACTGTAGGGCAACCTGCCCAGTGGCCTAGAGTATTTTGAATATGTCTGTGAACAAATATGCTGTGAATGTAGGAATAACCTTGATGGAACCCATAAGTCCACCAGAGTTGTGGTCTGCATTTCCAGGCCAGAGGCCAGAAATTTACTTGTTGTCATTTACTTTTGTTTATATTGTACTATGTTTATTTTCAGAGTCCTATCTAGAATTTCTAAAATGTTTCATTTTCCTACTTATAAACCCAAAATACTGGAGCTTTTAAAATTCAAAATAAATAGACTTTAATATACTAAATTGGTTTACCATACCCACCTTTACTTTGTTATTTATCAACATTTAATTGTTGAAATTTTACAGTGAACATTATTATTATTTAGTATTAGACACATTTTGCAGGATCAAGTATATGAAATTCTTAACACTTTTATTCCCTACTAATTCAAAAGCACTTATAGAGTTCCTGCTTAAATGCAGGGTAATACACTTGCTGCCTTGGGGCAAATCAAAATGAGAGAGCCTGTCCCTGCTTTCCAGAAATTTACAAGGAGGGAAACACCCATGCAGGAATAACTGAGCTCCAAAGCAAACTGGTAGGTACAATACTGAAGAACTAAATAACTGAAGTATTAGGGAGAAGTTTCATTCCGAGTGGGAGATGGTAGAACACTATGGTAGCAGCACTGAATTTGGGCTTTCAGCATAACTTTGATATGCAGTTATGAGGAAGGCGTTACAATATGACCCAGCATTTCCACTCTTAAGTTATACCCAAGAGAAATGGAACCGTGTCCAGATAAAACTCATACACCAATATTCATTGCAACATTATTCATACTAGCCAGAAAGTAGAAACCTAAATGTCGATCAGCTGATGAATAGGTGAATTAAATGTGATATATCCATATAACTGAATATCATTTGGCAATAAAAGGGGAAGGAATTTCCATCCATGCTATACCACAGATGAAAACATACTAAGTGAAAAAGACCACATACTGTATGATTCCATTTACACAAAATGTCCAGAATAGGCAAGTCTATGGAGATAGAAAGTAGATTGGTGGTTGCCTAGAGTTGGAGGAAGATGAGGAATGGCTGCTAATGGGTACAGGGTTTCTTTTTGGAGTGACAAAAATGTTTAAAAATTGATTGTGGTGATGGTTGCACAACTCTGAATATACTAAACACCACTGAACTGTATACTTTAAATGGGGTGAATTTTATGGTATGTGAATTATGTCTCAATAAAGCTGTTACTTAAAAAAAAGATTGAAGGGAATTTCAGGTAGAAACCATAGCCGAGCGCCACTGAGCACAAAAGCCTATTGAGGTGACCCTGAACAGACCTGTGTGGCTGGGGCCTATTCAGGTACTGCTGAATGTGAGATGCAGAACGGGAGACCCCAGAGGAGCACAGCCCTGCCAACACTTTGAAACCCATTTCAGACTTCAGGCCTCCTGAACTGTAAGAGAATAAATGTGTGTCACTTTCAGTCATCAGTTTTGTGGTCACTGGTTACAGCAGCCCTAGAAAACCAATACAGGTCTCAATCAAACTGACCCCTCAAGAGCCACACATATTTGAGAGATATCTGATTTGCCTCAGAGTTTCACCCATTACACGGTTTTTAGTCAGAGTGTAAGCCAACAGTGGGGCCTCTGTACATCTATCAACTGTAGTCCCTGCATCTGTGACCATCCTGAGGACATGTCGTGACTGCGAGAGCTCACGGTCACAGACGTAGGGAGTGGACTGACATGATATAAAGAGTAAATATCTAAATGGAGGTATCTGCTGTGCTTTTGTTTCTGAGCCCTCTCCTCTATGTAATCTCTCCCTGGGCAATCCCTTGGATTCAAAGTTAAGCATCAGGGCTTACCTCCAGATAACATACACATCTCTTCTGTGTATGATTCCAGTTCATCCCTTCTCTCAAGTTCCTCTCCTGCATTTCCTAGAGTCTGCTCTTCACCCTCCCCTGAATTTATGGCAGTACCTCCAACTTGGCATCTCCAAATGAGATCTAGTGTTTTACCTCCCAAATCTGCTCCCCCTCACCTTGTTGACATGTGAAAAGCAGCCCCACTATTGGCTTAAATTCTAACTAAAAACTGTGTGAGACAAAATCTCTCTGAAATGTGCATGGCTCTTTGACGGGGTTAATTTGATTGAGATTTGTACCTTCTTTAATGGCATCATACTCCTGGCACTCACCATCCAACCAACCTAGAGGTAATCTCTGATGCTTACATTTCCCTAAATCCTCACATCCAGTCAGTTGCCAGCTCCTCTTGGTTCTGTCCCCTCCCATTGTTCAGGCCCTCTTAGCCTCTCGGACTTCTGACCTTTCAAATATAGTCTTTTCCTGCTCCAACCCAGTCTGAACACTTTCAAAGTATAGGTTGGATCACACTCCTGCCTAAAAAAAAAAACCTCTTTGTCACCTTTGGACGTTACTGGGATGCCACTTCATTCTAAAAATTAATAAATATTTATCCCATCTGTCCCATTCAACTTTAGGGAAAGTTCTTCATAGAAGAATCACAGATGATAAATGTGAGAGGTTTGATAGAATCCAAAAATCACTATTTTGCAACCCCTAATGAAAAAATGGATCCAGGCAATAATCATCAATGGCTGCTAACACCATTAGGTGAAAGATTGACAAGGAAGACTGATCATAGTAGATGACACCACCACAAGCCACCGACCAAACTTAAAATCACCGAAAGCAGAACAACCAGACATCATGTTCCTCCTGAAGTGAAGCAAAAGAAGGTATATAGTATCACCTAGGAGTATTCTCAGAAAAAAATTTCAGAACAGAATCAAATCAAGTTTCTAGATCTAACTAGACACCATGGGGATACCATCAGCCAAATCCTAAGTGAAGGAAATTCTGTAGGATATGTGACCTACTCCTTCCTCAAATAAATGGCAAGAGGAAAGAAGTTAAAAATGAGGTGGATGTTATAGAGTAAAAGAGACATACCAACTAAATGAAATGTTGGATCCTGACTTAAACAATCTACAGAAAGACATTTTTGAGATACGAAAACTCAGTACAGGCTGATTATTACATGATAGTTAAGAAAATCTTATTAATTTGTTGAGTGACAATGATGTGGTTTGGTTAAAATTAAAAAGATCTGTTAGAAATACATCTTTAAGTATTTACAAGTGAAATGATACGATGCCTGAAATTTAAAATCCTCCAGCAAAAGACATTTTTTAAAAGGAGGGGTAAATGAAACAGGAAAGACAGAATATTGATAGCTGTTGAAGCTGGGTAATGAGTACACAGAGTTTCATTATTCTAGTCTCTGTTTTTGTGTATGTTTTAACACAAAAACGTATTAAAATATGAATAATATTGAAATCATTCCATATTCATAATGAAAAAGTTAGCATGCCAAGAACCTCAAGCTATGCTGAACACTCAAGTGGGAAATAGATGCTATGAGTTTCTCTCTCAGGTAGGTACACTGGATGATGGAGTCTGGGAAAAGCTTGCTTTTAGACTTCTAAACATTTCATACATAGGTGTGCATGTACGTATATATGTGTGTATACACATGTGTATGTACACGCAAGTCTGACTTCATAGACACGCAACCTGTGTGGTTGCATAAGGCCCCATGTTAATTTTTGAACAAGGGCCTCACATTTTCATTTTGCATTGGGTCCCACAAATTATATAGCTGGCCATACACACAAACACACACACTTTATATGTGTATTTATACTAAATATACCTAACACAAATAACATACATGCTCTGAGTAAGCTACATATATATGTACCTATGTTAAATATGTGCACATTTAATACAAAATATATGTGTGGTTAGTAATAAAAATTTCCTAGAAGTTCTGTTTCTAGTGAAGCAGCTAGGTCACAATAGCTCTTCAAAATCTCTGCATGTATGTATGTTTTAATTAGCAAATAAGGTCCCTGGCCTTTGCCCCTCTCCTCCTCTGATAAGAGGGTACTTTTTTTTTTTAATTTATTTAATTTTGGCCGCGTTGGGTCTTTGTTGCTGTGTGCAGGCTTTCTCTAGTTGTAGCGAGCGGGGGATACTCTTCATTGCGGTGCATGGGCTTCTCATTGTGGTGGCTTCTCTTGTTGAGGAACTTGGGCTCTAGGCACGTGGGCTTCAGTAGTTGTGGCACGCGGGCTCAGTAGTTGTGGCTTGCGGGCTCTATAGCTCAGGCTCAGTAGTTGTGGCGCATGGGCTTAGTAGCTCCACGGCATGTGGGATCTTCCCGGACCAGGGCTTGAACCCGTGTCCCCTGCATTGGCACGCGGATTCTTAACCACTGTGCCACCAGGGAAGCCTGAGGATACTTTTTATTTACTATAGTTTTGAGGCTGAGAAAACATATACTCAAATAAATAAAAGCATCAAGGGATGCTTTATTTACTTCATAGTAGTAGAAATATTAAAGTGAGAGAAGGATATATAAAAGTATTCAATCACTATGTTGTACACTTGAAACTAATATAATAATGCAAATCAACTATACTTAAATTTAAAAAATGAAAGAAGGTAAAAATAAGGCCACATTCACACTAATTTGCCACATTCATTGGTTTTTCTTTTGAGTTTAGCCTTATTCATCAAATCCAGATAATATCAGTTTCTTAAAAAAGATTTCTCTCCACCCAGAAAAATTTCAAACCTACAGGAAAGCTCCAAGAATAATACAAGAAACACTTCTATATTGTCTACCTAGATTTATCAATTTTTCAATTGTTAACATTTTGCCACATTTCCTCTCTCTCTTTCTATATATATATGTACTATCTTCCTATATATATATGTATTATCATTGATTTTTGCTGAACATTTGGAAGTTGCATATGTCATGCCACTTCACCCCTAAGTATTTCTGCATGCATTGCCTAGGAATAAGACATTTTCTGGCATGACCATAATATCATTATCACACCTAAGAAAATTATCAATTATTCTATAACATCATTTAATATGCAGTCTATATTCAAATGTTCTCAATTACCTGAAAAATGTCTTTTATAGCTATTTTCTGGGTTTTTCTTTTTTTTTATATCCAGTATACAATCAAGATTCAAGCATTGCATTTGGTCATTGCATTTGGTCATTATATGTTTCTAGTCTCTCTGTATTTAGAAGAATTCCCCTACTTTTTTTTTTTTCATGATACTGACTTTTTGAGAAATCCAAGTTAATTACCTTATCAAATGACTTCTTTCAGGATTTGTCTAATCATTTCCTCATGATTAAATTCCAGTTAAACACTTTGGGCAAGAAAACTAAATAGGTGATAGTGTATAATTCTTACATCACATCAGGAGGGTCATGATGTTAGGTTCTTCCACTTTCAGTGATACTAAATTTAATTACTTTATTATTGTGGTGATAAGAGCTTTCCATTTTAAAGATACATTTTCCCCTTTGTAATATCATCTGTCGGACTATATTTAAATCCTTTTGAGGCTCCTGTTTCCCAACGCCTTTTCAACCAATAATTTTAGTATCCATTGATGAACCTTGCCTTAATCAAATACTGCATGGGAGTTGAAGACCATATTAAATGCTTTTAGTAACACTTTTTAGAAATTGCTATAAGCCTTCACAAAAATATTATCTATTACTATGATTCTTCTGCTAAGCCTAAATTTGGCTCATTTTAAAAATTGTAAAATTATACGACAATTCTAGAACGGTAGTTGGATGCTATAAAGCTTAAAGGAACCCTCAGGTTCTTCCAATATACAGCTCATATTATTTTCCGGCATTCCCTACAGCAATTCAAGGAAACAAACTAGTATACCCAATGTTCCTCAAATCTATCTTTTCCAGAACGCATGCCATGCCCCTTGCCCATACTGCCCAAATGCTCTCCTCTCTATTCATCTAAATCCTTCACATACTTGGAAGTCTCACTGGAGTGTCACTTCTAAGCCCTGTGCCATGGGTCCTCAGCATAGAGTGATCTCACCCCTCCAGACTGATTGTTTTCTATGCTCAGCTACTGTCTTACAGCATAGTTATCATCTCTTTAAAGTGTCTGTTATAATAGGTACAAAATGTATTTAAGAGAAATAGAATAATTATGCAGTAAACACTAGTGGACTCAACAGCCAGTGTAAGAAAAGAAAGTTAACTGTTACCTCGGAAGTCCGTTTCTCCAATCACATCACTCCCATCCCTCCTCAGAGCCAATCACTATCAGAATATAATAATAGTTCTCAATCCTTTCCTTCCCTTTATTGTTTTACCGCATTTGTTTGAATACCTAAGCACACATTTCACGTAGCATGTTCCTGAACTTTATACAGTATTTTCTGCAATCTGCTTTGTTTGCTTAATATTATGTTCCTGAGAGATGTGGCATGTTAGTTACATGCATTTAGTTACAGCATTTAGCTGTAATTCCTTCATTTTCACTATAAAACACTATATAGTATTCCAGTGCGTGAATACAATTTATGTATCCATTCTTCTTCTGGTGCACATTAGCGTTGTTTCCTGTTCCTTTGACTATAATAAACGGCATTTCTATGAACATTCCTGTGCACATGTATGTAGCAATGGAACTGATGGCTTTTCAGGAATGGCAATATACATGTAACTTTGCTAGATGATACCAAATTGCTTTCCAAAGTGATTATACTTATCTTTTCATGGTTACCATATTTCTCCAGCTGGATTGTTAGCTATTTTGGACAGAGATAGATCTTATATCTTTTTGGCCTAGAAACAGCAGGTATTTAATAAATAGTCATTCATTAATTGATTAACTAATTGGTATTAAAAAGAAAATTTGAGGCATTTCCCCCCCATCTTCATAATAAGGAGATGAGCGAGGGGAAGGCAAATATAAGAATGTTTTTGAAGTAAGAAAAAATGCAAACCTTTCTGCAAATGTGGCAAAAAATTAAGGGAGAAAGGAAAATAGAAGATAAATACCATTAATATTCCCAAGCAGACTTTAGACAGTTATAGGAAAATGGAGTATCAGAAGAAGGATACTTTTTTAAGTATCTAACATGTATTCCGTTTCTTTTTCTCTGCAATATTTCTCCACTCCTTCAAAGTCTTCAGTATTTTCAATGTGTTAGGTCGTTTCTTGGGATCCTTTGAGAGTAATTGCTGTAGAAGATTTTTCTGTAATGATAGTAAGAGTCAATACTAGGAAATAAAACATTGAGTAAATAAAATTCCGATTATTTTTAAGTGCTTACTTCTTTGTTGTCAAATACATCTGAGAAGGTGCCATTCCTTAGACCTTTAAGAATCTAAAAATTAAACATACATATTCATTAGGAAATTATTCACTTTGGAGAAAAAACAAACTTAGGAAGCACTAAAGCTGGGGATACTCTAAATCTGGGATGTTTCTAGATCTTTGAAAAATCTCGTTAGCCAAGAAGCAAGCAGGAATCCTCTCCTCCACCCACCCCATGTTATAACCATCCTGAACATTACAGCATGTTGAAGTGTTAAGAGCATCATACGAATTATCTCCCTTCATCCTTTTTGGAACCCTATGCAACAGGTACTTTCATTATTCCTGTTTTACAGAGAAGAAGGCTGTGGAATCCAGGTGAGTCCCTTTTACTGAGCTTCAGACTAGGATATCCAGTTGCATGCAGGCTTCAGTGGCTCCCTGCTGCCTCCACAAGAAAGTCCATATTCTTGCCTCAATTTAGCCCCAATATATCTTTCCAGTACCATCAACCACTACTTCCTTGACTGATATACTCCAATAAAAATGACACCGGCCAGCTATTCCCAAACACACTTTTCACATTCCTGTCTCCACATGGCCTTCTTTCCAATCTGGACTATTAGAAGTCAACCAGTCCTTCAGAGCTCAATTTAAATGTCTCCATGAAACCTAAATCCCTACAGCTGGCAAGACCTCCCTCCTAGCTGTTTCCATTAGACCTCATGCTTTCTCCTAAAACATTTACAGCATTGTCTTATGTTACCTTTCCTCCTAGAATATAAGCTCCTTGAGAACAAGGCTTATTTATTTTCATAATCCTTGGAGCACGTAGCACAGGGTCTTATGCAAAGCAGGCAATCAAAACAATTTTACAGAGTGACTCAATTAGGAAGAAACAGCTACAGTTTTATGAGATGTACACACCTTCCAAAGAAGACCAAAGTTTTTGATCTTTAACAAAAAATACTGGTTGCCCAAACATGAAAGGGATAAAAATTCATATTTCATTTGCAGTCAGCACTAATATGCCCCAGCCCATCCTGGAGGCAATAACTGTTTGCAGCAGCACTTTGGACATGACGGCCAATAATATTTGTTGCTTAATTCTTTCTGTGAGATTATTTACCTTCATTGTTTCTATCCCAGTGGAACATATGTGAAGAAGTTCTGCAAGAATTAGTCCCAGAGCAAAGATGTCCACTTCATTTCCATAGTCTTCTACACAAGCAAGCTGAAGAAACCAAAGTATATTTACATTTGTGACTCATCTGATATAAACATCCATGCCTTCTAAAGCCAAAAAAGTTATCTGACCAAAACGTATCACACAACAATGTATGTTTATTAGCAAGATGTGTGGAGTCTGACTGCCCAGGTTCAAACCTCTGTCACTAAATAGTTGAATCACCATCAATGTGGGAATAATCTCAACCATAAAATGGAGGTAACAATAGTTTTAACCTCATAGCTTAACTGCAGGGTTAGATGAGACGAGCAGGTGAAGCAGTTAAAATCGTGCCCAGTAAATCAGCTGTATGCAAATGTTCATAGCAGATTTATTCATAATATTCCACAACTGGAAGCAATCCAAATGTCCATCAACAGAAAAACGGATGAACAAATTGTGGTATATTCATACAACAGAATAGTATTCAGCCACAAAAAAGAATAATCTGCTGATATGAGCAACAACTAGAGGTTCTCCAACAGGCATTACTTTGAGTGAAATAATCAAATACAAAAGAGTACATACTATATGATTCCATTCTTATTAAGCTCAAGGACAGGGAAAACTAACCTATGGTAAAAGAAATCAGACCACTGGTTGCCTCTGGGCAGTGGAGAGGAGTGACTGACTGGAAAGGGGTCTAGGGGAATACTCTAGGGTGAGGAAAATGTTCTACATTTTCATAGGCTTGCAGGTTTCACAGGTCTATGCCTTTGTCAAAACTAAAAAAAAAATGTACATTTAAGATCTGTGCATTTTATGGTGTATAAATTATTCCTCAATAAAATGTGACAATATAGGATGCAGGAGATATTTTAGAGAGTGGGAGTTAAAAGGGAGCTGTCAGTCCCCTACTGTCTTCTACCTTCACACTTTGCAAAAAACTTATGTTTTTATGCTGAATGGTCCCCAAAGGAAGAGGTGTGTTCCTTCTTCATTCTAGACTCTCAAACCATCAGATGGCTCACTGTATTTTTTCTTAGATGACAAAATAGTAGGGGTATTTTGAAAGATATATTACCTTTCAGTAAAAAATTATCTTTAAAGGGCATTTATAAAAAAAAAAAAGATAGGACAAACAACCCCAAAAGATGAAAACAGACAGTAAGCAATCAACCAAAAAAACAAACAAAACAAAACAAAAAAGCCCCACCTACTACAGTAATGAGTCTATATATAAGCCAAACATTCATGAATTGATAGCTGTACAACAATATTCATAGCAGCAATACAGCGATACTCAAAGTAGCTAAAAGGTAGAAGCAACCCTAATATCCATCGATGTGACAGATTAACATAATGTGATATATCCATACAATGGAATATTATTCAGCCTTAAAAAGGAAGGAAATTCTGACATATGCTACAACATAGATGAATCTTGAGGATACTATGCCGAGTGAAATAAGTTAGTCACAAAAGGACCAACACTGTGTGATTCCACTTATAAGAGGTCCTTAGAGTATCCAAATTCATAGAGAAAGTAGAATGGTGGTTGCCTGGGGCTGGGGAAGAGGGGAATGGAGAGCTATTCAATGGGTCCAGAGTTTCAGTTTGGCAAGATGAAAAGTTCTGTGGATGGATGGTGGTAATGGTAGCACAACAGTGTGAATGTACTTAATGCCACAGAACTGCACACTTAAAACTGGTAAAGATGGTAAATTTTATGTTATGTGTATTTTACCACAATTAAAAATAAATATATTTAAAAAATCAGCAGCCTCACTAATAACCAATAACCCATTTTAATAGCAAAACATGATACATATCCAGGGAAAAGCTTTAAAAATATGAACAATATTCATAAAGAAAAAACAAATTTTCATTGAATGTTTTCATTGAAGAATATAAAAGTGGCCTTGAGGTAGAATATATTATTGCTCCCAATTGTGCACTGGCCTCCCAGAGAGAGCATGACACTTCCCCACCATGTGCTTGTCTTGAGCTGGCCAATTTGCTCTGGGCAATGACTTTCAGTGATGCCACTGAGGAGCAGAATCTTAAAAGCCATCACAAGGTTCTGACACTGCTTTCTGCAGTGAGGACAGAAATACTCAGATAGGGTTCTTCCTTCAGCCTGGGTTCTAGAATGAAGGAATCACGTGGGGCAAAACTGGGCCAAGACTGCAGCCATCACACCACGTGAGCAAGAAATAAACCTTTGGTGTTGTGTATGCCACTGGGAAATCAGTGTCATTTGTTACCATAGCATAGCCTGGCAAAAGCTGACTGAGGAGGATTTGAATAATTGGGAGAAATATACCAATTTCTTGGAGACTTCTTGGAGAAGAAGTCTCAAATATATAAAGATGTCAATTCCCCTCAATTGAATCCTTAAATATAATGCAATTGCTATCAAACATCAACACCAGTTGTGGAACATGACAAACTGATTCTACAGTTTATTTGGAATAGTAAATGTGAACACTAAGAACATTTTTTTCTTCCAGTTTCATTGAGATATAATACAGTACTGTATAAGCTTAAGGTAGAACATTTTTTAATTGAAGAATAATGTCCTGATATTTATCAGGACATTATATAATGCTATAATAATTCTATAATGCTAAAATATAAAACATTTTATAATGCTATAATAATTAAACAGGATGATATTAAAGAGGAAGAAGATTAAATAAATCAACTGGACAGAATAGAGTCCAGAAACAGATCCATAAGTGTGTGGGAATTTCATATATGATAAAATAGCATATTTATATTGTGTTAAATATATATATATAATTTACCGTTTTAATCATTTCCATTTGTACAATTTAGTGGCATTAAGTGCCTTCACAATGTTGCATAATCATCACCACTATCTATCTCCAGAAATTTTTTCATCACAAACAGAAAATGTACCTATGAAACAACAACTTCCCATTCCTCTCTCCCCTCAGCCCCTGGTAACCTCTGTTCTACTTTTTGTCTCTATAAATTTTCCTTAAAAGAATATTTTAGATCATTAACTATTTGATATATGGTGATGGGGCAGTTTCATACCCACATGGGGAAAATCAAGTTATACTCCTTCATATATATACAAAAATTAATTCAGCTAAAGTATCAATAAAAACACGAAATATTTTTATAATCTTGTGGTAGGAAGGACCTCCAAAATAAAAATGATTAACCCAGAAGCCATAAAGAAAGTATTGAGGGACTTCCCTGGTGGCGCAGTGGTTAAGAATCTCGTGCCAATGTAGGGGATACAGGTTTGATCCCTGGTCCAGGAAGATTCCCACATGCCGCAGAGCAACTAAGCCCATGCACCACAACTACTGAGCCTGAGCTCTAGAGCCCGTGAGCCACAACTACAGAGCCCGTGTGTCACAACTACTGAATCCCACGCACCTAGAGCCCATGCTCCGCAATGAGAAGCCACCGCGATGAGAAGCCCGTGCACCGCAACGAAGAGTAGCCCCTGTTCACTGCAACTAGAGAAAGCCCGCGCGCAGCAACGAAGACCCAACGCAGCCAAAAAAAAAAAAAAAAAGATTAAGCTACACCTCATTCATCTCAGTGACCAAAACTGCAGTCTGATAATTCCATAGTCTGACTGAGAGTGTGAGGGAGGAGGCGGCATTCTCGTACACATTAGTAGGAGAACATACTAGAGTCACTTATTTTGAATGACAATTTCAAAGCATGTATCAATTTTTTTTGAATTTTTGTATTTTATCTATTTTTTATACAGCAGGTTCTTATTAGTTATCTATTTTATACATATTAGTATATACACGTCAATCCCAATCTCCCAGTTCATCCCACCCCTGGCCACTTTCCCCCCTTGGTGTCCATATGTTTGTATGGACATCGGTGTCTCTATTTCTGCCCTACAAACGGGTTCATCGGTACCATTTTTCCAGGTTCCACATATATGCATTAATAGTATGTATCAACTTTGAACTGCACCTGTCATTCTAGTCAACAATTTCAATTCAAAGAATCTATCATTGATTATCATCGAAATATTTGTTTTTAGACTCAAAGATAAGGAGGAAGACACATAACATGTCTATAAATGTAAAAAGTTGGAAACAATCTAAATAAATGCCCATCAATAAGGCAATAGTTAAATGCGTGCCGGTATATCTATACTTTGGCATACAATACACTTGTTAAAAATAATGTGTCAAGGGCTTCCCTGGTGGCACAGTGGTTGAGAGTCCGCCTGCCAATGCAGGGGACACGGGTTCGTGCCCCAGTCCGGGAAGATCCCACATGCCACAGAGCAGCTGGGCCTGTGAGCCATGGCCGCTGAGCCTACACGTCCAGAGCCTGTGCTCTGCAACAGGAGAGGCCACAACAGTGAGAGGCCCGCGTACCGCAAAAAAAAAAAAAAAAAAAGTGTCAAATCTATTTGTACAGCTATGGAAAGATTATGATATACTGTTGAGTAAAAAAAAATTAAGTCACAAAATGACATTATAGTATCTTGTAAAATGTATTTATGTATGTTTTTATGTAAAAAGTCTCTGTAAATATGTATTTTTATCTGTATATTTTTTATAACTCAAAGAAAATGATCTAAAAGGATAAACCACAAACTCTAGTGAGAAGAGTAGAAAGGAAGGGTAAGGAGAGCTTTCCATTTTTATTCTATTTACTTCTGTACTGTTTTAATTTTATGAGAGGTGCCTATTATTTTTATAGTTAAAAAAATGAAAGAGATAAAAATATATATCAACAGAAAGGAAGGGGACCTCACCTGTTCTGGGCTCATGTATAGCCTAGTTCCCTGTTTACTTGTCCGCGCTTCATCATTTTTCAGGTATGTTACAAGTCCAAAGTCTCCAATCTTTATTTGGTTCGTCTCTACTAAAAATATATTACCTGGCTACAGAAAAAAAATTTTAACTTGTAAGTACCAATTTGACAAGACTTTTATCACACATCCAAATCATATTTAGTAACAGCTATTTTTATATTTACTTATAAGGCATTTACTCTTACATAGGTAAGCCCAAAACAGGAAATTTATTATTATCGGTCTTTAAAATGCTAGCTGAGGAAGTAAGGACTTTTTGGCTGAGAGCAGAGAAGGCTTGGGGCATAGCTGCCTTCAAATATCTTAAGATAAGTGGAAGGTGGACTCACCCTGCCTGGTCCCAGGGGACAGATCCAGGACTAGAGGATGAAAACAACCACAAGATTTGCCTTAATATATCCTGATATACTAATCGTGTGGTCCAAAGAATGGGAGTTAGAGAGTTCCCCATCCTACGAAGTATTCAAGACAGGGCTGGACGCCCACTTGGTGGAAACATTGCAAATATGAGTCCAGGATTTGATGGGGATTGAAGTAGACACCCTTAAGATCCTTTCTAATTTTGAGATTCTCAGAATGAGGCCATTCCCAATAATGCTGCAGAATATCATATGCAGAATTTCCCCTGGAGCCTTCCTTTACGTCTATTTCTCCAGGCGTCTGACAACTTCTTCACAAACGTAGCCCATCTTTTTTTTTTTTTTAATATCTTTGAATTGATACAGCCACTATGGAGAACAGTATGCAGGCTCGCCCTCTATCTTTGAAGGCATATCAAGTTAACTGGAAGCTGATGAGTAGCACTGAAATATTTTTTTTCCACGTAATTCTTTAAGCAGATTGAAAAAAAAAAAAGGAATAGAAGAACCGAATGACAATTCCACAACTTTGTAGAAGGTATTGACCAATATTCTAAAGACCATGAAAACATGAAGGTTGTTGATGAGGAAATTAATATTTTGCCATTCTTGAGAAAGCTACTTTCAATGCAATGTTGGGCTATCCACACACACACACAGACTCAAGGAGACAACACTTAGGAGAGGGCCTAGTAAAGAAACTGAAAGAGAAGAGACCATAAGCCCAAGCAGGTTGAAAGAGCAGCTTCGAAGAACCAGCCTGAAAAAGCCCATGCAGAAATCAGCAGTTAGATTAGAACAATTAATGGTTAGATTGGAACCTACCGCCAGTAACACGGACGGAAACCTGTAGACTTGTGGGGATGTAGAGAGAAAATGTGCCTCTGCTGTATTCAAGTTACAGTGTAGGAAGATGTTGGGTTTGCAGGTACAACTGCTGGTCCCACACAAGGCTACAGCCTGGCTCTGAGAAATAGGAGGTTGCATTTACGAAACTGTCTAAATATATAAGCTGGATGGGACTGTCTAATAAAAATATTAGATTGCTTGTTTATAGTTCATTAAAAAGAAAAAAACATGATGCCACATTTTGTCTAATCAGTTATGGTATGACTAGGCAAAATGTTGGATGGTAGAACATAAAAAAGGGTGCGAAAAAAAAAAGGGTGCCAACTGGGAATTCCCTGGTGGTTCAGTGGTTAGGACTCTGAGCTTCCACTGCAGGGGGCCCAGTTTAGATCCCTCGTCGGGGAACTAAGATCCCACAAGCCGCAAGTTGTGGCCAAAAAAAAAAAAGGAGCAAACTTTATCCAGGAGGTACAGGAATAAGGGCTGAGGCTGACTGAGGGGCCTGGGCCGATTGGGGGACTGAACTCCTCAGGCCCTAAGCCGTCACTCCACAAACCTCTGTGTCCATCACCAGCATTTTTGGTCTGGTTCTTAAGGTAAATGCTGGTCGACTTTATAGAATAGGGGCTTTATTGGGTAAAGACTGTTCTCTGGCAAAGCCACCAGGAGCAGGTATTTTGCAAAGCATCACAAAATAAGGTGCACACCTTTGTTCATATCTTGTCTCAGATATGAGAAAACAGTAACTGTAGCAGTGAAGCTAGGAAGTTGAAGAAGATGAAAAGAAGGCTCAGTAGTATTAAAGTTTGACCTTTGAGCACCTGCCGACATAGAGCAAACATTCTCTGCAGACACAAGAAAAGATCACTCCCCGACACGGAGCACAAGCAGTGCGGAATACAGAAGGGAACTGGCAGACCAGGTGGTGGGAGAAGGGAGCACCGATCAGAATTTCATTAACTCATCCTGACAAGGGTCTGGGAGGTAACACTCAAACTGCTGAGTAGAGGAAATGACTGTGTAAGTAGGTAATTTATTTGCAAATGATTATATAAATAGATAATTGTGTTTAATTTCTTATTTAACTCTACGATTTATTTCGAAGTGTAGGTATAGCCATTCTAAATGTAACCTTTTGAACAGAGTCATTATATCATTCCAACTTCAAAGAACACCTTCAGATACTGTTAAAAAAAGATACTGGAACGAGGTAGACTCCTACTTGAAGGCATCAGACATCCAGCCCCCGGGCAGACCAAGGATGCAATACCTCTTAAGGGCCATCTTTTTCTACCTAGGCCAAACAAACAACTATGTACATGGTTGCTTATTTTTCTCAAGGAACTTTTTGCTTTGTTTCTCATTCCCGGCTGTTTTAGACAGGTGGGATAAGCAGAGAGTCAAGGTCCACATAGACAAGGTGCTTCTGTCTGATCCAGAGTGACTGGGAAAGGCTCATAAAGGAATTGGTACCAAAGGGGACAGGCAGAGAGTGTCCAATGCAAGAACATGAGCAAAGATTCGGTGACAGGATTCAGCATGGCCAGTCTGTGATAAGCGTAGGCAAATCACAGGGAGTATGGAGGAGAGACTGAAAGCTCTTCTGTCTCTCTTCTTTCACTTTTGAGGAGGAAATGGGAAAACTGCTCAACTAGACCATAAAAGAAGCTAGGAAGCCCGAAGAAAATGAAAATACAAAGATATGCTACATGTTCCAAGGTTTGGGTTACTGCAATTTTCCAATCATGGGGCACAGATGTCTAACCAAATGCCAAGGAAATTCTAGACTCTGGACCTAGTGGCTGTGACTGCCCTCAAGAGTAATGACTGAAAGGTTAAGAGACCCATGTTCCCAAAGCCAGTTACCAGAGTCCCTTCTGTCTCTCAGACAAGCCTGAGAAGCAGTAGAGGCAGGGACAGAGCAGCCAGCTGGCTGTGCCAGCCACAATAATTATTTGCACAAGTGTTCAGTATACTAAAGCTCTTAGTGTTTACAACTGGGGTGTGACTCTCAGCCAGGATGACAAATAGAACCAGAAGTGAATGAGCTTCTTCCTGTGGAGCTCAGTGTCTCCGTAAGTTTACAGCCCTGGAGACCTTCTGCGTGGTTCTATAGATTGGTATTTGGGGCAAGTGCTAGATCCATTCTAACTTTAGAGGATCAGAGATGTTATTTCCTCATGACTGTCAATCGATTCTGAAACTAAAGAAGATAGACTTTTAAATTAACTAATTTATCATTTCCTAACAAAGTACTTTTTCCACTTACCTTAAGGTCTCTATGAATTAACTGTTTTGAATGTATGTAATGCACTCCTTCTGTTATTTGTGCAAAGAATAACAAAGCCAAACGTTTGTCTTGTTCCTTGTCTCTTCTACTCTCAATCCATTGCTCCAATGTCCCTTTATCACAGTATTCCATTTGGATGAAAAGGCACCTAGTCTTTGATCTGGGTATAAAACTCACAGTATGTTAGAAGTAGCAATACAAATAAATTTATTAAAAAATACACTTAAAATTCCAATGAAAAAATTGCACCTTCTTAAAAATGCCAAAATATGTCTCTAAACAAACCTAAATATAACAAATTTGAATCAAAACATTATAACCCAGTCTTTATTTAAATCATAAATTCCCAGGTATCCAAAGCTTTGTTTAGCTAAGTTATAAAGTAGCAGCCTGCCCATTCTTTGTTGCTGAAGGTCCTTGATTATCTTTGCTAATAGATAGGAATAGAAGCATAAATACAATGGAATTGCAGAAAACCAAATTTCATTAATATATACAGTAATTTTGAAACATTTTAATTCACCATTGCTCTACTGAGCATCTATTTTGTGAAAGGCACAGAACAGGCATCTAAAGATAAGAAAGTGAGTTAGACACTATCTTTGCTGTCATGAGGATTATAGTTTAATAGGACAGAGATAAAGGAAAAACAAACCTAAATAATAGTACGTAGATAAGAATTCTAAGAAAAGTGCCAACAAATTGCTATGAGGTATAGCAGGGAGGACTGATTTTGCTAACCATGGTTTTTTGTTTTGGTTTTGGCTTTTGGGTTTTTTTCTGAACTAAGTTGGCCTCAATACTAATTTAAATTCTTTGAGCATATATTGGCTAGAAAATAGAAAAAGGTAACCAGGAATTTGCTGAAAGCTGAAGAAGTCTGTATGTTGATGGTACTTCTGAAACCGATGATAAGGTTCTCAATTACATGGTGTGGAGACGGTGATGAACAGGCCCACAGTGGCCTCAGGATTATACTGAAAGGACTGTCTCCAAGAAACAATGGGTGACTTTCCAAGGGAGGCGCCAGCTCTTTAAAACCCTTCAGTCCCTTTGCAGTGGCTTATCTGAGACAAATCGTCAGTAATGCAAGGTTTGAGGGGAGGGAGCCCCCGTCACAGCTCAGGGTCTGGGAATTATTTTCACTGCCCACCACCTGACCGTAAGGGGTATAACTGCATTCAGAAGAGGCCCCTTGACTGCACCCTGCCAACCAGGTGAGAGGGACAGAAGAGGGCTGGCAGTGGAGGAAGGAGGGGAGCCTCCAAATGCAGCATAGACAGCAAGTTCAAACCTTCTTCACAAGACTGCGTTTATGGCCTGGACTGAAGTCAGGGCATGGGAGCAAGCCTGTACCTTAAACAACAGAGTCAGGAAAGCTAAACCTGAGATTTCAAAAACCACGGAGGACAATTAAAAAAAGGTTTTTTAAAGCAAGTCTGGAGCAAGAAAAAGACTATTCATTGTCTCCTTACCTGTAGAATGGAGGCATAACAGTGTCTCAGTGTTTCTGGCTGTGATTATTAAATGTAATAATTAATGGCCTTACCCAGTGGCCCACACATAGTAAATGACTGTTTCCTCTATCCCATCATGACTATGGGAATTTCCTTTTAGTTACCTTGAAGAATTTATGCTTTGCTCAGGATCGTAATCAAGCCCATCCCAACAACTGTGGTAGTGAACGATATTTGCATGATCAAGCATTGCCAAAGCTTTCACTTCACGCTCTACCTTCCTAGTCAAAAGAAACAGGGAACACAAAAGCGTCAGTATCCATCCCTGATAACAACAACAAAACGCCTCGAGCAACAGCAGACAACTACTTATATTCCCTTATTAAACAGTCACCATGGTTTCCACACGGAGTTTTAGAATGCAAGCCAGCAGTGCTCAAAAGGAAAGAGTGAACACACAGAAAAAACACAGCTGTTCTCACTCTCAACATAAGAGAAAAAAACAGTAACTTAATTATTCTAAACATCACAGTTTAAAAGTCATACGTAGTAGTCTGTGAACTGCCAGTGATGGAATTTTTTTTTTCTCGGGGGGAGCTAAAAAAAATCATCCACTATGTTTTATTTAGACGTGTTAAAATCAATTTGGATTTCATAAGCAAACCCATTTGGGCAGAAGTGGTAGGTAACACAAGCAGCATGAAGAATCTAATTCAGAATTTTCAGTGTGTGGCAAAAGTACACAAAGGGGGTGATCTATGCAGAGAGACTGAAATTTCATTGCACAATGTGGAAGCTTTACAGGGATGTGTAGTCAAGAGCTATGACAATTCTATGCCAAATGGAATAAATAAATTTGTGATTTCAAGGATGAGAAAATAAGCAAACATTTTATAATTTCTTTTTTTAATTTGAAAAGTTCTACATGATGTAAAATTTATAAAAATAAAGAAAAAAATTACTCATATGTCAACGCAATTCTAACATAATCATTTATTATTTTAGATTATTTATTATAGTCTTTCTTCATATACATGTTTACATATTTGTAATTATAGGGTATATTTTTATCCTATTTTTTTCTATATAATGTATTAGCTTTAAAATTTTCCTGATTATTATACAATCTGTATAACCATCATGTATAAAGTTTTTAATGTAAGATTTCAAAAGTATAAAGAAGTAGAGGAAATAGTAGAATGAGCCCCTACCTGGCCATCACTGTTTCATCAGATAAAACAGTTATTAACTCCTGGCCAATCTTGTTTCATTTATACTCTTACCTACTTCCTCATCTTCCCCCTGGATTATTCTAAAGCAACTTCCAGCATCATACTATTTCATGTATAATATTTACAGTACATAACCCTCATTTTTAATGACTGCAAAATAGCCATTGATCAGGGGAGAGAACAAAACATACTTAATCATTTCTTCATTGCTGAATATTTTGTTTGCTCTAATTTCTCACTGCTATAAATGACATTGTGATTGTGATTTTTATCTTCTTGAATAGCTTGTCCCATAATCTGGGTAATATCCTTGGAATAGGTTCCCAGATAGGAAATCCATGGGTCAAAGCATCTAAACATTTTTATGGCTCTAGATTAATATCTCCAAGTGTATTTTTCACCAATTTATGTTTTACCAATTTATGAAGCCACTAGAAATGTCCAAGACATTGCACCCTTATCATAATTAAGTATGACCATTAAAAAAGATGTTAGGGGAGAGAAGGAACAACCGTATTTCATTTCTGTTAAGCAAAACGATGAAGAAGGAAAAAGCCTTGTTTTGATGCCGAGTAGGTATGAAGGTATTTCAACTGCAAGGCTTTCTGTCCATGGGACAGAAAGTAGGTTGGTTTAACTGGATGAAGAACACCTGGGACACCATGCCTGCTTCTCCTTTGCTCATGTCATTTTCCTTCACCCATATCCCTTTTCCATGTCCTTCTCTAGTCCTTGAGGGATCAGTCCAGCCAAGTTACAAATAGTTAACAACTGCCAGAAAACAACAAGCAAGACTGGTGAACATGTGATTTAAGACCTGCTTCCTCTGTGTTCTCCTTCCTGAAGGAGTTCTGCTATCCAGTAATTGGAGTGGGGTGGGGCTTGGGAAGGGCACAGATAATACATAAGACAAACATGGGAAGCACTGGTATATAGTGGGAACACAGCAGACTGGTATTCCAGAGGATGAGCTCTAAATCTCCACTTTGTTACCACAATAGATAGTGTCCAATATGGTCATCAGGAATTCCTTCTCTCCACATACTTGCATCCACTCCTCAGAGTAAGAAGTAGTCTATTTGCCCTCCCCTTGAGCTGCTCTTAGTGACTCTGTTTAACCAATATAATGTGGAACTTCCAAGACTGCTCCCTCCTGGGATGAGTTGCTCTGGGACAGTCCTCAGAACCCAACAACTAAGCTGTGAAAAGCCAAGACCACATAAAGGGGCCATGTGGAGGTGCTCTGGTTAACAAGTGCCAGTGGGACTTGTAGCCACAGCCAGCACCACCGCTAGCCATGTGAGAGAGCCATCTCTAGCCATGTGAGAGAGCCTTGTCAAGCTCCTAACTGCAAATGCATGAAGAATGGCCCAGATGAGCACAATCAACTCATAGGACCACTAGAGATAGTAATAACTAGGTGTTTTTAAGCCACGACATTTTGGAGTGGTGGATTATGCAATAATAGACAACGAACACCCACTAGCTTTTACCTTTGTCAAATCAGTTCATATCTTTGGATCTCAGTCCCCTCATCTGTTAAGATAAGGAGATGAAACTACAAAATCTCGAAGGTCATCTTAAGCTAAATGATTTTATAACTTTAGTTTTCATCAAGATGGCCTCAAAAGGATGATCAGTGGTATATCCATTTTTTAATTGAAGTAACCACGGTAAAGTGAGATCATTTCAGAGTAAGCCAAGCTCCTCATGGTAGAATGACATTTTTAAGGAGGATTAAAAAATAATAATAATACGCTAGTGCAGAAGAGAGATACATAAAAAAGAATAGTTGCAGATTCAAAACACCTTCCCATTCAAAAAAATAAAATATTACTACTTACTCGTTATTATATTTAACACATTTAATAACATAAGTCTTCTCGTCAATTTTGTGTTTGGCTTTGAAAACTTGGCCAAATCCACCTTCGCCAATTGGTGTTATTTCTGTAAAATCTCTGATAAACCTTGAAAGATGAACGTTACTGTTATTCTGAGGTTCAGGGTTCGCTGCTCCCCACTCCCACCCTCCCACTTTCCCTTAACAGCACTGGTGAAATGGACTGTCTAATAAGCAGGACTCTCCTCTTCTGAATAAGAAGGATCCACTTCACAGAAATTCTTGAATTGCAAAGGATAGGTCTTCCCTCTTCCCATCCCTACATAACAGATCACCCCTGAGAGTCAGTCACCTTCTGGTTAAACAAAAGCCATGGTAAAGAATCTTATCCCAAGTATAAAACTTTAGAAAACAGTGCTACACCGTGTTCCCCGGCTACCACCAAGCTGTTACAAGAGAAATGAGCACATGCTCTGAGCCTGCCTACGTTGGCAACTCCTTGGGTTTCCCCTCTCCCTCATGCCCCACATTCCATCATTAACTCTGCCAATTCTCCTTCTAAAACACATCTGCTGGTGTCTGCCCACCTTTTCCCTTCAGTCCAAACTTCCATCAGACTCCCGCAGAACTTTGTTCACTGGACACTCCACTTCCCCTCCTTCCTCCGCTCCAATCCGTGATCCACAAAGCAACCAGTGTGATAAACACTAAGTCTGATCACATCTGTTTATTGCCTAGATCCTCCCATAGCCTGCCCCTGCATTCAGCAAAGCCCAGAAAGTCCTTGCATGGGCTACAAGGGGCCACCTGTTTGGCCCTGCCTCCCTCTCCAGCTGGTCTCATGGCCCCGGGCCCTTGCTCACTGCCCTCCCAGCACACGGCCTTGTCTCCGCTCCTCCGACGTTCACATCACCTTTCCCACCTTCACCTTCCCACATGCTCTTCTGCAGAAGCTCAGGGCCTCCCCACAAATGTGACCCCAGAGAAAGCTTTGCCTCGCCCCTCACTCTACATCCAAGGGTTCTGCTTTCATTTCTAACCATGTCATGGCTTTTCCTTCAGACCTCTGACCACGGTTTGTAATTACAGACTTTTTCATGTAATCATCATCCCCTCAAAACTCCAGGAGGGCAGGAGCTGTTTCTATTTGTTCCTGCTATAAATCCGATGTCCAGCACAGTGCCAGGTATATACTAGGTACTTATTAAATATTTGGTGATTCTTTATTATTTTTTAAGCTCATATTCAATGTCCCCCTGTTGCAAATAGGCCTCCTTTGTTTTAGATACTTTATTTAAGCCCAAACACATGATCTACCACAAAAGCAACCCCTTTTCAAAGTGAAATCTGCTATGGAGCTGGAAAATGGAATACAGATCCAAGTGGATCTACTCTGATTCCTGCAGGAGTACTTTTGTTGAAAAAAAAAAATCACTGGTTTATAGAAATATTTGCTTTCAATATTAAAACCTTCCATAGATGTCAGAGAAATCCACCTGAGTATCACACAGATCTACACTTACCACATTCCATTTGGATACATCTAAATTGTGTTCCTCCAAGAGACAATGATCCTTTGTGGGCCTGATTGTGCTAAAACAATTAAACAGTTCAGGTAGAAATATAATTTAACCTGCCTGATGTTCAACAGTCCCTTAAGAAACTTTTGTCAGAGGAGCAAATGTATCCTTAAACAAATTCTTTTTCAGTTTTCCCTCTTACCTGGAGTCCACAGTATACATTCTTTCTTTTTCTTCCCTCTTCACAGGAGAGTCAAATCTAGGTGCCAAAGATCTAAAAGTTAAGAGAAGCCCGTAAACTCAAAACTGAAATCAAATGTAACTTGTTTATGTTAGTAGGTTTCATGTCGCACTAGGCTTTATATATATATATATATATTTTTTTTTTTTTGCAGTACGCGGGCCTCTCACTGTTGTGGCCTCTCCCGTTGCGGAGCACAGGCTCCGGACGCGCAGGCTCAGTGGCCATGGCTCACGGGCCCAGCCGCTCTGTGGCATGTGGGATCCTCCCGGACCGGGGCACGAACCTGTGTCCCCTGCATTGGCAGGCGGACTCTCAACCACTGCGCCACCAAGGAAGCCCCGGCTTTTTATATTTTGAGTCAACTATTAGAATAATGAGGTAGCAAATACTAACCTTTTTCTTTAGAAACAATATGGTTCTCTGTCCTCTATTTTTCGCTCCTTTCTTGGTTCCTCTTTTGGCCTTAACACATTCATTGTCAGCATGCCGCTGGCCTCTCTTTTTCTCCCTCTAGACTCAAAACCTCAGGAAATATATCTCTTTGGACTCTCATCCTGGTTGTGTTTCCTTTGACCTTTATTCCTTGCTGGTGGTAAGCCTCCTACAACTGGAAGTTCAAATACCACCTAAAACTAAACAAATACAAACTGCTATCTCTCCCCTAAGCCGTCAAGTCTTCAACTCCCTTAACAGCATCAGTGCCATGACTCTTGTCAGCATCTCATCCACAAGGAACAATCTTTGTATCCTTTTTCCTTTGCATCTTCTTCAACCAGTTCTGTAACTCAGTTCCCTCAAGTCATGTCTACTCTTCCTTTACAGTCTGTCTCACAAACGCTCCTCCTTCCTCCTCCCTGACACTAGAACCACGACTGACAGCCTGATCATCTCACACACAGACCTCTCCCATCTTCATTCAAATACCCGCATCAGGCATCATCTCTCTGCAAACATCACCTACTGTTTGGAATGTACTGGTGCCTTATAATGGCTCCTGCTGCCATCTCACTCTCACTGCTGACTATACTGACGTCCTTGCTTTTCTTTTCAGTTCAAGAAACCAAGTCACCATAATTTACATAACATTTGGTCTTTTTTTTTCTTCCCCAAGTTATGATACCATTTCTACTCTACCTGCTTATCTGCAAAATAATGCACTTCTCTATTGTGTGTGTGTGCGTGCGTGTGTGTGTGTGTGCGTGCGTGCGTGTTTCGGCCGTGCCACACACCTGTGGGATCTTAGTTCCCCCACCAGGGATTGAACCTAGGCTCCCGTAGTGAAAGCACAGAGTCTTAACCACTGGACCGCCAGGGAATTCCCATTATGCACTTCTCGTGAAAACATCTCTGCAAACCCATTTCCTGTGTCAGCCTCGTCCAAAATAATGCCCTTAGTCAATTACTCGACCAATAGCCCCATAGGCCTTTATGTCTACAGTGTAGTGTGTGCGTATGTTCAAAGAGTTCTCCACGTATTTAAAAGTATTGTTTGTAGATTTCAAGATTTCAGTGAGCCTTAATTATGCTTTCTACTCTGAAACTCCACTCAAATAAGGGCATATAGTACTCTACAAATACTGAAGACTTAATAAATAAGGCTAATAAACTAAGTCTGAAATAAAACTACATTTCAAAACATGTTCAATACATAATGATACTCACCTCTTCACCTTTCTGGGATTATTTCTGGAACTGTTCTATAATAAAAGAAAATGGAGAATATCAATAGTTTCGGATGATTAAATTAAGTATCTTGCTTTTTCTTGCCATCCTTTCTCCTGTATATCTAGATGGTTCTTTGATCACATTTCTTTGTCCTTAGATTAACAACCTCATCAATTTGTATGCTCTCACTAAGCCCTGCTTTCACTGCACTTGGCTATATCAAAGTTCTCACCGATTTTAGCAACCAGACAGATATGGCAGGAAGGTCAAAAAAGACAAATTGTAGGGCATGTTCTGCAGAAGCACTGATTTTCCAGGTATAGAATATGGCCTCCTAGGTGATCCTCTGGCCAGCAGATCTTAGCAAGAAGGTGTGCATCACAATCACTCACACTGCTAGTAAAGACACAAGTGTGGCCCAGAGATCTAGTTTAAAATATTGTCATTTTTAGGACAAATTAATAATTTAATTTTAACATTTAGCCAAAAAAGGAGTCTTTGATATATCTCTCAAAAATTAATATCATATAGCTCTTCTTCACTCATATTCACTTTCATTCTGTTAGGTTTTGTGGTTTTTTACCAATTTTAATATGCTGACACAGACTGCGAACACCAGACTAAGATTTCTTGAGCTCATATCACCTGCCAGCCTCAGTTTTGCACAGTGACTACATTATGATAAATTCAGACATTCTGTTCATGGACAATATTGTTTCCAGTATCTTCTATTACAAACAATTTTGCAAAGAACATGCTTATACATGTTTCTATATGCACACATACCCATGTTTCTCTAGAAGATGTACCTAGGAACAGAACTGTTTGGTGGTACAGCTGGCACACCCTCAAGTCTACCACATGTTGCCAAATTGCTCTCTAAGAGGGCTGTACCAATTTATACATCCACCAGCAGCATATAATGGTTATAACAGCAACAGAGCTGTGCTAACACTTAGTATAACCAGACTCAAATGGATGGGTTTAAAATGGTATCTAACTGTTGTTTTGATTTGCATTTTCCTGATTATTATGAAGTAAAGCATCTTTTCATACTTTGTCTGTTGCCCATTTGGGTATTGCTTCTCTGAACTGTCTGTTCAGCTCTTTCGTACATTTTTTTACTGAGTTGCTTATCTTTTTCTTATTGATTTGCTTGTAGTTCTTTATAAATAGGATAACTTTGATAAACACTAATCATCACCACAAAAACTATCTGATTTTTAAGTTTAGTTTTTAAGTTTAGTTCTAGTTTTTTAAAACAGAAGCAGAACTCTATTCATAAAACTTTTAAGTACTATCCAATTGATAGAAAAGCTGAAGCCAGATCATAGAAAATATATGAAAATACAAAGGTGAGTAGGGGGAGAAAGATGGGAGTGAAGAATAGAAGAATTTTGCATGTGAAGAATGGGAGCTAATAAAGAAAGGAGAGAGTGAAAAGGCTGCAAAGTATTTTGATTTAGTAAGAACACATGAGAAAAAAATAGAAAAATCATGGTTGGGCACTGGAGGTCATTTTTAAATGGAGAAACACAAAGGAAAAGAAGATTAACTAGGAAGCACAGAGATTAATACTATACCTCTGGAGATTGGAAAGACTTGTCTAACGCGTCACTGTTATCATTGCTTTCCGCTTCACTTGTTGAGAAGTCATTTTCAGATGGTGATTCAGAAGCACTAGAAGAAAAGGGGACAACTATTAGTTTATGAATTTTGCCTATTTTTTGTTGATCAGTAATTGCTTTTTCTAACTTCTCCTTAAACATTAAACATTTTCATAAATATTTGCTCTTTCAGGCTACAATTTGAATCTGCTAAATAACACAACCGTTTCTCCACACTTACGATGTGTTTGTCGCTGAAGAGTTGCTTTGGACATCACCACACACAGTATTGGAACAACCAGAGGACGCGTCAGCTTTCTGAAAGATTTAAGTGCAACTAAATTACCTCTCCATAGTGACTCAGTCTCTGGGAACCAACTACCACATTTATTTCCCCACATTTACCAAACTCACAGCCATAAAGAATTATGGGGTTAATACATTTTTTATGGATGTTTGATCTGGATTTAAAAAAACAACCCTGAGTTGTCAACAGAACCGTGATCCCTCTGGGGCCTCGTGGTCCCATGGTTCATGGCTCATTTTGGGGACACAGAATGGAGGAATCCTTTTGCTATGTGATTGGCTGTCTTGGCATCATCTAAACATCATCTAACCTCAAATCAACTTCAGAAAGAATTTTGAAATATAAAAATTAAATCCAAAGGCAGTACATACCATTAAATTTTCTGACTGTATCTTTTCATAAGCCAGTTTAGCAGCCAATTGTTTTGCCTCCTGTTTAGTGGAACCTATACCAATACCATATTCATTCTGTCCAATTTTGCATTTATAATGAAATCTAGGAGAAATGATAAACAGTATTAACCCAAATACCAAAAAACAGTAAATCTAACTCATGATTCAGAAAAAAAAACACACATTAACAAAGGCATAATATAACACTAATTTAATAGGTGGCTTCATAGTTCATTTCTTCTTTAATTTAAACCTCCAATGAGATGGCTGACCAGTTTGCCAGAATAACCAGGATTGGCTAACATCTCAGCTTGCATTTTCCAGGCAACTGCTCTTTGTTGCTTCATTGAAAGATCTGGCATTAAGGTACCAAGTGGTGATTTTTTAAAATTCCCCAAAAGTCAAAAGACATGGAGGCAGAGAAGGAAGACAGATCCAATGAATTTTTCAGAGATGTTCAACTGGAAAGAAAAAGCCAGTAGAGGAAGTGGGGCTTCTACAGGAGAAATAATAAGGTTAGAGTGTTTTTGCAGGAGATGGGCAAAGCATCCCTAACTTCAGCTCTAACTTTAGCCTTTTCTGCCCCCTGCTCATGTGCACAAACACCTAAGAAAATCCTCACAGTGCAAAAGCCCCATGCTGAAGTCACCCCCTCCTCATATGAGCTGTAAGGATGCCTGTGGTTAGGCAAGGATCCTTGGACAATTATATAAGAACTTATCGTGGAGTTACCATGCAGTGCTACAGAATTATTCCAGTATGATTTGTCACAGAGGGAAACACACCCTACCAGGGTGAGTCTTCCCCGCTAGGCTCTGAAGGGAAAGTTAGGGAGCTGGGCTGAGTGACTGGATCATTTCTAGGGCTCCTATTTTTCTCCAGCACTCCCTAAATAGAATTCTCTCTTTCAGCGATCGAACGTTAAAGCCCTTAATTCAAAGAAACCAAACAGGTGAGCTACGGGAAAATAAAATAGCCTCTTAATTTATTGAGATTGACTCACAGAATTCACTTTTGAATATTTCACTCCAATGAATCCTATCACATTTTTCTCTTCCTAGTTCTGGCCTAAAATCCATCAGGGTGAAAAGTAAAGCATCCATAGCTGAGTCAATTCCGAGGACAGTATCCTAAAGTGGTTGTTTGGACTATTTGCCATTTAGATATTTTTTCCTTCTCCCTCATTTAACTGGTTGGTTGTAGCTGAGAAACAATCTCCCTCGTGCTCATTTGCTTTCTGCTTTTCCCAGTTCAAATCGATTCTTCTTCCTCACGTCCAAAGTCTTAGCTCACTGGTGACATTCTCAATATCTCTGACTGACGCTCTCATCTGTCCCCCTCATCACATCCCTCAAATCCTGGTCTCCGCACAGTCCAGGGTGAAAGCCCATTCCTTCTAATACATGGTATTTGTTTAGAGAGTGACATCAGTTAATCAAATCTGAAGGGCAAACACCTGGACAAACAGCTCTACTCTGACAAGGGTGGAAAGAGAGTCATTCCACACGTGTGGCAGAGATGTTTTCACACAGTGACTGCCACTGTGACCTCAGGGATGGGGAGATTTTCACAACCCTGCAGCAGGGGCACCCCACCCACTCTTAGGCTTCCTACAGACTAAACCATCCAGATATACCTCAGAAATAAAGGATTCCTCAGATTTGATCAATTATGGGATATGGGTCCCAAGTCTTCACCAATTAAGCATTTCAATATTTTAATTACAAAGATGTCCCATTGCTTGTAAGTCATATAAAACCTTTCCTGCAGAACATACCAAAAAGGACAGATATTTCCAGAAAATGAGACATGAAAATAAGCCTGTTCTGTTGCTTAGATACAATGAAACAGAAGGAAAAGCACAACATCTCACTTATCGGGCCCACTGTCCCTCGATTCACATTCTTCATAAATTACAGATAGGTTTTTCTTCTGGGCAATCGTATTAACACGGCCTATGTAATTCTCAATGGGTGGTACTTCTGAAGGATCTCCTGTCTGCAGTGATGAAGGACTAGCGGCCTAAAAGAAAGAAATGTTTTGTTTAATATAGATGATAACCAAAATTTATTTTGTCTAATAAAATTACTATTTTTTGCCTAATAAAATTACTAAATGAATAATTTGAAACACCACTTCGAGTTTATGGATTTCCCTACTATAATACTTTAATAAAAGTATAAGTATATGTCTTCCTCTGCCAGAAAAAACCCACAAGGATAAATTTTAACAGGAGAAAAGAAATCAGCCATTTCCCTTTTATAGTTTCATAAAGAAAAACAAAATAGTCAATTTTCTTGTTTATCCGGTAAAACTCTATAACATTTTCTGGTTTGCTGTGCCCTTTGTAAATCTCAAAGAACAAGACAACAAATATCAAAGTAAAGCTATATCCTGGATCACAACTTCATAGGAAACATGAACATAATAGCATTACTCCTTCCATTGTTATCTGTCCCTTTTAAAATTCTTAATCTGACAAAATCTTGTCCAAAGTTTTTCTACTTTGTTAACTTTGTCAAAGAACTTTTGATTCTACTTATCTTCTTTATTATTTCTTTGGTTTTTTTCACATTAATTTCTGCCCTTATTGTTATCACTGTCTTTCTTCTGCTTTTTTGTGGGGAAAGGTATTCTACTGTTCCTTTTCTAACTTCTTTTTTTTTTTTTTTTTTGGCGGTACGCTGGCCTCTCACTGTCGTGGCCTCTCCCGTTGCAGAGCACAGGCTCCGGACACGCAGGCTCAGCGGCCATGGCTCACGGGCCCAGCCGCTCTGCGGCATGTGGGATCTTCCCGGACCGGGGCATGAACCCGTGTCCCCTGCATCGGCAGGCGGACTCTCAACCACTGCGCCACCAGGGAAGCCCCCTTTTCTAACTTCTTGACTTGGTTTTCTGGCTCTTTAACAATTTATAAGTTTGTGGGTTTTGCCTGATTTACTTTTCTCAATTTTGATTAGAAGGGTGACATCTTTAACTTAGATTTTTTTTTTTAATTAAAGAAAAAAAATTTTTTTTTCTTTTCTTTTTGGCTGCAGCGCATGGCATGAGGGATGTTAGTTCTCAGGCCAGGGATTGAGCCTGTGCCCCCTGCTGTGGAAGCACGGAGTCTTAACCACTGGACCGCCAGGGAAGTCCCTTCAAGTAAGATTTTTCAAGAAAATATCTTGAATACTAAAATTTTTCAAGATTTTCAAAATCTGAGAATGATCCACTTTTGTCCCACATGTAAAATGACTTCTTGTCTCATTTTACAGCTGCTGCTCCAATGTCTCCTAGTTTTTAATGGTGCTGTGAACAGCATGATATTTTTTTTTCATTTTTACATTTTATATAATTTTTTCTGCCTAGATGCTCATAGGTTTCTTTCTTGACCCCTGGAGCTCAGTACTTTCACAAGGGCTGATGTTGTTCTTGGTGGTTCTGTATTTTTCTGTATCTGTTTAGTTGCTGAGTTGTTTTAATCTGAAGCCAGGTCTTTCTTTATTTCAGAAATGCTTTCTACTGAAGTCTCTTCAGATAGCTTTTTCTGTACTAGTTACTCTGTTCTAATCTTCAGGGATACCAATTATACATATGTTGGTTCTTCATCATCTGCCCTCCATATAGATCATTCTCCTCATGGTCACTTCTATCTCTGTCCTTTTTCACTGCATTCCCTCAATTAGGTGGAGGAGCTCCTTCCAGAACCTGTTAGCTCATTTCTCACTGTTTCCTTAGAGTACGTCACTGCTGCTGGCACTCTAAATAGTATTGTCCCATTTTTCCCACTCTTCCATTGGTGTACCTCTCATTCAGGGTTCTACAGAAATGGGGCCAGGAAAAAGACTGAACGAAACTTTGAAAGCAAAAGAAGTTGTAAATTTCTTTATTCTGCATATAAGTATTCTCTCACAGAGAAAAATACCACAGATATTTCTGAGTTCCCTTTCACTAGGAAAAAAAGGTAATTACTCACCTTCTGTTCTTTACTAATTATTTCAAAAGCTAATTTGGCTGCAGCATTTTTGGCTTCCTTCTTTGATCTACCTTCAGCCTTTGGAAATTCTCTGCCATCTATTGTAACTTGATAGGTAAACCTAATTTCAAAGAAAAATTCACAAAATATCATAAAATTCATGCATTATCTAACAACAAGTGTTCTGATCACCACTGCTTCCTATGACTACCTTCGAAAATTTTAACCTATGTTCCACATAAAATTCAAGCAGTCACCCCCAAACAGCAAAATAGCATATCATCTTGAAGCATGGAAAGGCTTAAACCCTCTTTTTTCTCTGGAGTCCTCTGAAGTTACCACTTTACATCAAGAAGACAGTACTCTCTGGCAACTCTGCTCTCAAGCTAAAGAATTGACTTCAAAATTGTGCCAGGGCTGCCATTCTCCCAGTTCATATTTTCTAGGGATATACCCTTTTTTATAGCAACTTACCTTAAGTTATGTGGAGGTCCTGTCTTAGATAGTTCACAATACTTAAGTACTGCAGTGTTCCTTTGTTGGTACTTATTAAGTTCTTCTATATAGAAACATGGTGAACGACCACTGGCCATTTTTTCCTACAGTAACCTACAATAAGAGAGATGTTTGAAAGAGGTGATACACTCAGAACATACTTAATATAATTATCCCAGTCTAGTTTAAGAGACAAAACAGGATAAGATGACTCTCCTTTATACAACTCATCTCAGTCCCACATAAACCCAGAGAAAACTTATTACAAAATCTTTCTTTCTCTCTCAAGGACTACACAATCAAGCTAATTTCTCCACGATTTTCTACTTTCAAAACTCAACTGGCCAAAAAAAGGCTGGAGGTCCTTCTCTGTAACTTTTCTTTCTGCTTCCACTGAGTGTCAAGTGCAAGTCTGTCCACCTGCTTGAGAAGTTAAAAGCCTGCAAGAGTAGAATTATAATTATTTATGTTGAGAAGAAAAAGGTTGAGAGTATATATAAAGTTTATGAAATCATGAAGGATTTAGCTGTATGGACATTGATCCTCCTATGAAATCCCCAAAAATCCCCCCTTTGAAATTGTCAGAAGTCAGTTTTAGGACAATTTACTTGGCAGGCAAATTATGCCCCTGTTTATGGTTCTCACTGGAGCAAGACAGTAGCAATGATTTAAATTACAAACAAAATCTAAAAAATATAGAATCTAAATATAAGAGCCAAAGCTATAAAACTTTAGAAGGAAACATAAGGGTGAATCTTCACAACCTTAGATTTGGCAATGGAATCTGAGATATGACAGCAAAAGCACAGCAACAAAAGAATACATAGATAAATTGGGCCTCATCAAAATTAAAAATGTTTATATATCAGAGGACACTATGAAGAAAATGAAAAGACAATCTACAGAAAGGAATTTTTATAAATAATATATTTGATAAAGACCTAGGATCCAGAATATATAAAGAACTTTTACAGCTCAACAACAAAAAGAGTTAAAAAATTAAAAATAGGCAAAGGACTTGAACAGACATTTCTCCAAAGAAGATATACAAATGGCCAACAAGCACATGAAAAGATGTTCAATATCATTACTTATTAGACAAATGCAAATCAAAACCACAACTAGATACTACTTCACACCCACTAGGCTGGTAATAATAATAATAATAATACAGAAAATAAATGTGCTGTTGAGGGTATAGAGAAATTGGAAACCTCATATATTGCTGATGGGAATGTAAAGTAGTGCAGCCTCTATGGAAAAGAATTTGGTGGTTCCTCAAAAAGTTAAACTTAGAATTACCATATGACCCGTCAACTTCACCACTTTGGTGTATACCCAAAGAACTGAAAAACAGGTTTTGAAATACTTATGCAGGAATATTCATAGCAGCACTATTCACAATAACCCAGAAGTGGAAACAAATCAAATATCTATCAACTGATGAAGGGTAAACAAAGTGCTCTATATCCACACATGGGATCTTATGCAGCCATAAAAAGAATAAAGTATTGAAACATGCTACAACAGAGCTACATGTCAAAAACATGCTAAATGAAAGAAGTCAGACATAAAAGGTCACATAGCGTATGATTCCATTTATGTGGAACATCCAGAATAGGTAAATCCATAGGCAGAAAGCGGACCCTGTTGATCTCTCGTTTCTTATTAGAAAGCTCTTCTGATTTTCCTTCTTCCATGGTCACTCTTTCTAACACTCCTTAATCTTCACAGCCTTTAAATGCTGGAGTTTCCCCAAGGCTTGGTCCAAAGACGCTATTCTCTTCACTCTATACTTTCTCCTCAAGGTAATTTCTCTCATGACCATGATTTCAAAGATCATCTATTTGTCATTAACTCTAAAGTTTATACATAATTTATGAACCTCTTACTGAGTTTCAGATCTCTCTATCCAACCTCTCCACTTGGACAACTTGAATGACTTTTAAACTCAAAAGATCCAAAATTGCATTTTTAATCTTCCCTCAAGCTGGTTTGGAGTTTCCTTTCTCAGAAAATGACTCCACTGTGCATCCATGTCTGAAAGCCGTGAACCTGGGAGGCATTCTTGACATGTCCTTTCCCTACCTTCTGATCTATACCTAAGTCCTGTCCTCCAAATCCTTCTACTTCTCAATGACGTCTATAGCCACCATCCTGGTTCAAGCCATCACCATCTCACTCCTGGACTGCTGCAAGAATGTCAGAACCAATTCCTCACAGCCGCTGCAATTCCTTCTCTACACTGCAGCCATCATGATTTTTTTAAACTTTTTTTTCATTGTCGTAAAATATACATAACATGAAGTTTACCCTTTTTACCCTTTTTACGTGTACAATTCATGGGCAAAAAGCATTTTCACAATGTTGTAAGGCCACCACCGCAATCCATCTCCAAAACTCTTTACATCTCCCCAAACAGAAAGTCTATACCCATTAAACAATAAACATTTCCCTTCCCCCTCAGCCCCTGGTAACCACCATTCTATTTTCTATGCCTATGAATTTGCCTATTCTAAGTACCTCATATAAGTGGCATCATACAATATTTGTCCTTTTGTGTCTGGTTATTTCACTTAGCTAATGTCTTCAAGGTTCATTCATGTTGTAGCACGTATCAGAATTTCCTTCCTTTTTAAGGCTGAATAATATTCCACTGTATGAATATCCCACACTTTGTTTATCCAGTCATCTGTTGATGAACACTTGAGTTATTCCAACCTTTTGGCTATTGTGTGCAATACTGATATGAACATTGTTGTACAAATATCTGTTCAAATCCCTACTTTCAAATCTTTTGAGTATATACCTACAAGTGCAATTGCTGAATCAGATGGTAATTTTATGTTTAACTTTATGAGGAATTGCCAAATTATTTTCCACAGTGGCTGCACCATTTTGTATTTCCACCAGCAGCGCACAAGGGTTCCAATTTCTCCACATCCTCACCAACAGCTGCTATTTTCCATTTTTAAAAGAGTCACATCATAATCTTTTCAAAACATCAATTCAATCATGCAGCCCCCACAAACCACCAAAATTGTTCTTGTCAAGATTACCGATGGCTTCTCCATCTCTAAAATTAGTAGTCAGTAGTCAGTTCTCAGCCCCTGTCTACTTGACACATAACCAGCATGTGACACGGCTGCTCATTCCTTTCTCCCTCCTTATTCCTTTGCTTGGACACCCAAGACACCACCCTCTCCTGGTTTCTCTCCTTCCTCACAAGATATTTCTTCTCTGTCTCCTTTCCTTGTTCCTCCTCCTCATCCTTTCTTTTAAATATTATAGTGTGTCAAGGTCCAGGTCTCAGATCTCTCTGCTCTACTTACACTCATTCCCCTGATGATCCCCCTGAGGCTTGTGGCTTTAAATTCCACCTACACAGAGATAGTTCTCAAAAGAACGCCTCCCCCACTGACTCTTTCCTGGCTCCCAACTGCTTCTGTCCAACACGCTCCCTCCTGAAGTGCTCTGGAGTCTACCCGTGATGCTGCTTTGCCTGGTTAACTCCTGCTTCCTATAGATCTCAGCTCAAATGTTACTTCCCAGACACCCTAGAAGAGGTCCTGGTTTGATGCTCTATCATAGCCCTTGTCTCCTTTATTACAATTGCTAATTTAACCGACTGTCTTCCAAAAGAGACCATGAGCTATAAGAGGGGACAGGCTTATAATAGGTGCTTAATAGTGAATAAATGAATACCAAAATATCTGCAGATCTCCCTTACCTCCATGACTTGTAACATGCTTTTCTCTCTGTTTGGAACGTAATAGCTGCATCCTCTATCTACCAGGAAATTCCCACTCCTCTGTGAGGATCAATACATCCTTCTTTGATGCTGCGAGAGCAGCTAGTACCCCTCCACGGGCCTGCCACCCACCTTGCTCAGCTCCCATCATAGTCGAGACTGCTTTTTAAACCAGTTAGTGAGCTCTCTGGGGAGCTAGTTCTATGTCTTACTCATCTTTGTATAACTGGCACCCCGTGACAAGTGGTAAATGATGAACACTTGGACAGTATATAGGTAAATGACAGAATGATTCATGAAAATTAAGTACTCCACTTTAAACCTCCTCACCGTCTCCCTTTTCTTCATCTGCTGTTTTCTTTGCATCCTTTCTTCATTCATTCGGTAAATGCTTAGTAAGTGTCAGGCACTGTTCTGATGCGGGGTATACAGATGTGTACAGGACAAATCAAGCCCCTACCTGCATTCCACTGAAGAAAGAAAGAAGACGACCAAGTCCAGAAACAAGTAACAGGAGGGGATAACAGTTGGCTGGAAGTGCTACAATGAAATGAAATACGGCTATGAGATAGAAGAGTGTTAATAGGTGGGGGCAGAGAAACGAGGGAGGTGGTTTTGATACAGTGGTCAGGGAAGACCCCTCTTAGGAGGCAATATTTAAATCAAGCCTGGATGATGAGAAAGTCCACCATACTTAGATATGGGGGAAGACCATCTCAGGCAGAGGCTGCCTGGAGGCAGGCACCAGCACAGCTTTTGGAGGGATGACAAAAAGGTCAAGGAGATTGCTGCACAGTGAACAAGGGGAAACGGTGGGAAATGAGTCTGAGAGGTAGGCAGGTGCCACAGCACAGAGACCTTGAAGGCCAAGGTGTGGATTGTGGAAGTTATTCTAATTGCAGTGGGAAGCTATTGGAGGGTTCTCAGCAGAGGGGTGATGCGGTTGGATTTATGTTTTTAATGGTCACTCTAATGTTATGTAAAGAACAGAGTATGAGGGGTGGGTGTAGAAAAGATGAGTGGAGCATGAGTATAAGTCAGGAGACCAAGTCGGGGCTGCTGCAGTGGTTTGGGTGAGCAATGCTGGTGGCTGGGAGGGCTCAGATCTGAGCAAAGGTGCTGTCTTCACATCACCGCTTAGTGTTGTGGAGAGGGCTATGCTTTAAAGCCACATAGATCTGGGCGAGGCACCTCTTTGAACCTTTGATTCATGACCCGAAAACAGAAATGAAAACACCTGATTCACAGGTTGTTGTGAGGAGTAAATCAGACAAAAAGCATCCAGCAGGGTCTCCCACACCACTGGCCCTCAATAAACAGTGCTTCTGGTCTACAATTCCAAAATGCAAAAGCACTGAAAACTGAGGTTTACTTTGTTTTCATTTGTTTTGTTTTTGGTGGGTGTGTAGCCCCGCATCTAGACCTGAACTGACATGAGCTATTTAGAGTCTTAATCGTACTCTGTTGTCGATTTATACATTTCACTGCAGAAATGTTTTATGATAGAGTGTTGCCCCCAAACCCTACTGAGAACATTACAAATAGATGGGATTTATACTGCCTTGCCTTTCTAAAATCCAATAATCTCTGAGTACCACAACATACCTGGCCCAAGGGTTTCAGATAAGGATCTGTAGCTGTATCATTATTTTCAGGAACCGAAGTGTCATTTAGTTTAGTCACGAGTATGAGACCATACATCCAACTGGAGGAGGTCATAGATCTCAGAACAGTAGTTATGGAAGAGTCCTTAGCAATTATTTAACCTGAAGTCCTATTGAAATACCCTAAATCCTCAACACTTTTAACTTTAAGTAACTGCTGATCTTCAGAATGACAAGCCAGTTTGAATTTAAGTGAAATATATGTGTAAACAAATAAGGAGTTAAATTGGCATTTTTGAAAAAGTACTTACAAGTTTGGAAAAAAAGAAACAGGCGTTTCTTTTCAATTTTTTTTTTTTTTTTTTTTTTGCGGTACGCAGGCCTCTCACTGCTATGGCCTCTCCCGTTGCGGAGCACAGGCTCCGGACACGCAGGCTCAGCGGCCATGGCTCACGGGCCCAGCCGCTCCGCGGCATGCGGGATCTTCCCGGACCAGGGCACGAACCCGTGTCCCCTGCATCGGCAGGCGGACTCTCAACCACTGCGCCACCAGGGAAGCCCTTCAATTGTTTTTAATAAATCTTATTTTAATACTATGTTACCATCTTCCTAAAAGAAATCTCCATCATAATCACTAATAAATATTACATATCCATCTTACTCATGCCCAGAAGTTACTTTGGCTGTGCCTTGATACCCTTAGGGCAGACCCAAGCCCCTGTGGACCCAGCCCCCTCAAAGGACCTGTGCAAAGCTTGGCAAACAACGTGCATTCAACTAATATCTGATGAATTGAATGAATAAACAGTGTTAAGGATCTTCAGGTTCAAATAAGCAAACAGAAGAACAAGAGCATAAACTGCCCAAGATTCTAAGTTCCTAAGATTCTAAGTTCCTAAGTGACAGCAGGGAGTCTGTCCTTTAGCTTCCATCTGGCAAGGCATTTTTAGTACTAAAGAAATCACAGGCAATAGGAAGTCTCATATTCTGGAATTCAAAAAAGAATTTATGAATCAAAAACAAAGATTTAATGAATACCTATCACATACTGGGTTATACTGGCGAACAAAACCCTGCTCTTGTGAACTTACTAGTGGAGGAAAATGGACAAACCCATAAAAAATGTCACAAGGTGATAAGTACTACGCTGAAAACTAAAGCAGAGTAGGGGTGACAGCAAGGGAAGAGTGGGGTTTCTTACATGCAGGTTGTTCAGGGAAGGCTGCTCTGATACAGTGACATTGTATCTGGGGGAAGAGCTTTCCGGGAAGAAACAGGCAGTGCAGAGGTCCAGAGGCAGGACAGCGCTTGGCTCTGCCCCAGGGACAGCCACGAGGCCTGTGTGGTCAGAACGCAGGGAGCAGGTGGCCTTGTCTGTAGATCAATAACCTTTTATAGGATTCTGATGAAGCTATTGGGGAGCGGGGTTCGGGGGTGTCCTGTTCTGCCTTAAAGGCCCTCGGTCGGCTACGGTATTAAGAAGAGGTGGCGGGGCGGGGGACAGAGTTGGAGCGGGGGCTAAAGATGGGCAATTGGGGAACGATTGCAACGACCCAGGCAAGAGATTTGTGGCTGGGGATTCTTTTAGCCAATGTTTTGGGCAATTCAGGCCCCCGTATTTCCCATCTGTCTGTCAAGCCATAGGGCTCTTCCGTTTTCCACTAGTCGCCCCCGCCCCCGTCCCGGACCAGGGCTAGTAGTCGCTTGCTCTGTCAAGAATTGTTCGCGGGAAGAAAATGACTTTCAGCGCCCACCGCGCGGCACGCTCCTTTCCCCGAATCCAGCAAGGGCTCCGCACCTCGGCTGAGGGCCTCGGACAGCATTATCGAGGCGGCGGCGCAGGGGTCAGGGGTATCTTACCAGAGTCCAGTACCGGGCTGGGGACGTGAGCTGCGGCCTCACTGGAAGCTCGGCGGGGTCTGGGCAGTTCGCTCTCGGTTTCGTTTTCCCCGCGGACTCCGCCTTCCTTCCTCTCCGCCTTCTTCCCGCCCTCCCGCACGGGTCCGTACGACTCCGTACGGGTCCGCACACGTCAGCCCACGTCCGCACAGGCTCAGCGATAGCGGGAAAGTGTCGCCTCCACCCCGAGTCCGCACGGGTCCGTACGGGTCCGCACACGTCAGCCCACGTCCGCACAGGCTCAGCGATAGCGGGAAACTGGCGCCTCCACCCAGAGTCCGCGTGGGGGGTACCGCGGGGCGGACCGGGCACGTCCAAGACCCTGCAGCCCTACCCCTGCTTCTGGGGGTGCTCCCGGCCCCCGTGCGGGCAGGGTACTCCGGGAGGTGGGGAGTACGTTGAGGTCTCCGAGGCCCGCGACGTGGCAGGCGCTCTGTGATCAACGCTCCAGTTTCCTCTTCAACACAAGTATTTGGGATGGGGTTGGGGGGCTGGATATCATCAGCTCCATTTTATTAATGGAAGAAAACTGAGTAAATTAACTCTCCCAGGGCAAAGCCAGGATTCCTTTTCCCATAACCACCATTTCTTTGCCCTCCTCCTTCTCCTCACGTTAACCAGGCTGGGGATGAAGAGGCCTGGGGGCATAATTTCCCTATCTGTTTCCACCCATCCATCCATTCATTCAACAGGTACTTGCCAGCTGCTGTATCAAGTACCAGCCAATCCAGCAGTTAGGAGAGCTACCTGCTGCCTTCGGGACCTCCTGGAGTTTACCACCAAAGTCCTTACCAGTAGTCCCAGAGTTGTAAGAAATCCTACTCACCTAAGGGACTATGACACACTCCCAGAGTAATACTGGCACCTTGACACAGTGACTGAGGAGTGCTGAAGACTTAACCTCATAACAGTACTGCAAGGTAGGTGCCATTTAACAGATGAGAAAACTGAGGCCTGAGGCACAGAGAAGTAACAGCTGGTGAGCAGGGGAGCTGGAATTAGAACCAGGATCCTGTACCTCAATATCCCAGTGAGGGTGAGGGAGAGAGGCAGTTCCAAGATGGATTTCAGGTATACATTACATATTGACCATTGGCTCCAGGCATCCTTTCCCATATCTCTTCTGCACACACACCCCCCACCCCCGTATTGCAGGGTATCAATGGCTAAACACTATTTTCCTTGATTTAAGTTCCCCAAATATGAAGCACTGGTGGGAGGTTTAGAAGGCAGATAGGAGGCAGAGACATCTTTCTGTGACCCTTTGAGATGACAAGAAATCTCCAACTGTAGTGGCCGTTCGTTTGCAGGAGTCCATTTCCCAGCTTCGTGGGTGTGGGGTGGTTGTTTCAGATGCAATGGCAGTAGCAATGACATGTTTTCTGACTTTCTGAAGCCCCTGAACTGTCCAAAAGAGCTTAAAGAAAGAAAGCTCTGACAAGCTCAAGCATGGTCAGAGGACACAAGCTTTTATGACTGCCCCAGAAGAACCTCTTACTTCATGTAGTCTCAAGGCTGATGGAGCAGAAATTAGCTACAGAGTCCAGTGCTGCAGGTAGCCGAATTTCTATATAACTTTAATTTGCAGCCTCACCAGGTCTCTTCTAGGAACATTAAGGCTATTGACTGGGAAAGAATGAGGACCTGGGAATTTGGGTGGATTTGAATGAGTCCATTGCCCTCCTAAATTCTGCTGAGTCACCACAGTCCTTCCATCCTTGTTGGATAAGTCTGGTACAGCCAAGCTTGAAGAGCCTGAATTGGTCACCTTGCAAGGACGTGCTGAAATTTCCAAACGCCCCATTCCTCCCTCTTGTCTTCACTCCTAGAACTAGAATCAGATGCTAGAAGGCCCCAAGAGGATACAGACAAGATCTGATCCAGAGGATATAGTTTACATAATGAAAGAATTACAAGATTTCGCTAATTTTTATCAGCAGAAACCCAAGAAAAGTGCATGGATATGCTTCTAAAGGTGACATGAAAGACGGAACATAGTTTAGATTATGCTCTCAGTGTGCTGGCTCCAGCAGCTGGGAATGGTTCTAAGAGTTTGTTTAGTTGGCTTACTATAACCTGGGCTCAGTGGTGGCCCATATTAAGTGAAATTGTGATGCCAAGTATACAGATGAAGAAATCAAAAATACTTAAGGAGTCAGGAATATTAGAGTAGATTAATCATATGCAACCTATTCCTTCATTTTCTAACCGTGTCCCCCAAGAATATCCAAAGGACCCTCCACCAGGCATTCAGAAATATAGTTTCATCTTTGAAAAGCTCTGTATTGGCTGCCCACTGTGCCTGGAGAATGTTGATGGGAGATGTTGCCATTGAAAAACTACCTGATTTCAATGGGGATTATGGCTCCCAGAGTGGCAAAGGCCATGTGGCAACACTTAACTCCACCCACCCCTCCAAAAAAAAAGGGCAGCAGGGTCAGAGCAGTAGTCAGAAACGTTTGCTCACCAGAGATCTTTAGTGGTGGTAAACTGGTCCTGGAGTTTCTAGTACTGAAATAGATGGCAGCCCACAGGTGTGTTACATGAGCAGATATGTGAGACCCCCATGGCACTCACTCCCACTCTATCAACCCACATCCCCGGTCTCATGGGGAGTTCCTTGTGAACAGGTGACTTAGAAAGAAAAATTCAGTTGAAGCACAATACGCTAGCATTAATTGGAAGTAGACTGATATATTCCGACAGCACTTCAGGGAGGTAGCCCTAAAAGATAATGGGAAAAAGGAAAATCTTCCCAGTTCGTGGAACTTTGAGCAGGTGGAACTATATTTAGTTGTCACTTGGAAGGCAATAAAGCTAGTGGCCTGGACAGTACCAGTAGCTAGCAATTTACCTGGATATTCAGAGATTTGGAAAGAGCAAGATCAGAGGGTTGATGATAAGGAGGTCTGGGGAAAAGGATGTGGGTGATCACTTGGAATGGACAAAGAGGATGAGTGTATTGGGTCCCCTTGTGAATATTCATCAAAGGTACCCCCTGCTGAGGAGACTTTTGAGAAGCAGGTGTGCAAGAAACCTTCTGTAGATGTCAGTCGGGCTGTTCCCCAGCTACCCCGGTGCTTGCTTGTTCCACACAAATGAAGAGCCTTCGGCAATAGGAATGGATGATGTGTGTGACTTCATCAACATCGAGTTCTTGTCAAGGTTGATCCGGCTGCTGAGCACCCAGCCTTCCAACAGCAAAGACCAACACTGAGCTCCCAGCACAAGTACCCCGTACACCGAAGGAGACCAGCCTGCCACTTGGGGACGGGTGGGTTACATGGAGCCTTTCCATCGTGGAGTGGAGAGGGATTGCCCTCTGTGGAGTAAGCATTTATTCCAGGTATGGAATTGCTTTTTCTTCCTCCAGTGCTTCTGCCAGCACCATTATTGTTGGCCTTTCCAAATACCTTGTTTACCATAATGATATCTGTCAGTAAGGAACCCATTTTTTTTTCACATCTTTATTGGAGTATACTT